TTTCTCACTTCTGGAAGTCAGTGCTTGGTAACATTCACAATAGCCAAGTAGGCCAGATGCCAAAACACTGATTAGCCCAGCTATGCCTGAGTACTCTGGGCATTGTGGAGTGGAGGTGCAGTGGGAGACCAGCTCATCACCAAAGAGCACTACGCTAAACACAACTTTAAGTGGAAAAAAGCCAGAAGACTGTAGTCTATCCTTGCTGGACACATAAAGCCTTAGGCAAGGAGGCATCTGTCTCTTTAATACATAATTCATTTGGAGCTGAAGCATCATACTTTCGTCCGTAGGGCCAGCGCTCTGCTTGGTGTTGTTGGAACATAAAACTGTCTCCATCCTACAGTTCAGTCTTACCAAGACAAAACTTAAGCCTAACTAGTAGCTGAATGCAAAATTCAGATCCAACTAAGCAGATCAATCTTTAAAGAGTGATAAAAACATCTCTGCAATTATTACTTTTTTTGTGTGTGTGTTTAGACAAGTGGCTTTCAAAGTGCACTAAATGCATGTGGAAGCACAGTCACCTCACCTTTCCACCTCAGTGAGAGAGCTTGTCCTCATCAGCCTTGACAAGCAGGTAGGTCAACGTGCACAGACAGCCATCAGGCCCTGGAGCTCTCCTCTCAGACATGCACGCGGTCACTTTGCATCTGAACTCCAGCAAATGCATCTTCCTGCAAGCATATTATTAGAAGCACTCACATCTTTTTGCCAACATCATTATCATAACCGACAGGATGTGCATTAGTTACTTCCGTCTTCTGCTGGCAATTGGCCCCTAATGTTGACGCACCAGTGCAGAGTCCTTTTTGTCGATTTCAACATGGACACGGAAGAACCCGAGGCAGCTCCAGGGTTTACATGTGTGACACTTACAGCTCAAGTTCATGGGGGGAAAAAAAGGGGCACTAATGGGTTAACAGTGGAAATGAGAGGGGAAGAGAGTGGAAATCAATGCTTTTGTTGAAGGGAAGAAAGAAAGGCTTTCACAGGTCTATGTATCATTAAGCAATTGAGAAAGCTAATTAGAGTAGGGTAAAAGATGTGCGGATCTCGCAGCTAATTATTTCCATGGCAACCAGAGCTCCTGTAGATGAGAGGTGGCATTCAGTGTGCGCCAATCAAGGCTGGAAAAAAGAAAAAGAGCGACCCCTAGTGGCTTTGACAAGCATATTCAGTTGAAAAACGAGTTGGACTTAAAAGGGTTTTGCATCTTTAAAGCGTGGAAAGATTTTGTTCAACTGTTTGGAAGATGAAAGGGAACGGAGCACAACTCACTGGCAACAGATACGACCTGTTTAAACAGTTTGCCTTTCCCGAAGTTTGCTGTAATCACAAGTGAATACTTTGAGTGCATCTCCTTTCTTTTTTTAAAATAACAAAGTGATACGATTACTAAAATAAGATAAAAAAAAATATTGTAAAAATTAAAGCACTGAAATTTGAGAAAAAGTCGCACTGTTTTACAGCAAAGTTTAGAAACAAAGTGAATGTTACTCAATTACTTTTATCTACAACAAAAAGCAACATATATTCCCAATGTCTGTGCTATTCTGCTCATCACAGTGTAACACAGGTATGAGAGACTGTCTGCCCAGGGAGTCCTGCAGTCAACAGGTTATTCAGTTTTTCAAGTTTGCCGTCAAAAGAAAAGACAAGACTCGCAGGTGGCACTGCTGTAGCTTCACACCACGACTGTAAATATGTTTTCTAATAGACTCTTTTGCAACATGCTAAGTTTGCCTTCTAAGCAAAGGGAAAAGTTTAGTGGTCTTTAGTCAAGCAGCCGATCAGCAGAGTTCAAACAGGGGAGGTTTATGTCTGAGTAACTGAGCAACATTCAGCAGGAGAAAACTATGAATACCATCCCACCACTTTCTCCCCCTTCTGATTAAAAGGAATTTAATCTATCGGAATAAAAAGTGTTTGTGTCCTTGAAACTGTACATTTTTAAACTCTTGGTTGGCCTTAATATGGGAAGACATCCAATGCTGATAAAAGATTATCTTTTGTCCAACTTGCAGAACAAATCAACCAGAAATATAGCTGCATAGTCAAAATTGAACTGTATTTTATTAACTGTAGCAAAAATATTTTAAGTACAAAATTAACAAGACATTTTGCTTTCAGAACAAACTAGATAAACATAACTAATACTTCAAAGTGAGGCTCTATTAAAAGCTTAGCAACAGTTATCTTACAAACAGCAGTTGGCTCTCTTGGCATCTCCATTTTATTATAAATTCATATTAGTCCAGAAGATCAATGTTAATGACTAGTCAGATGATTTCTACCATCTTAAAACTATTCTAATCTAAAAATGGTCATAGCTGTTTGTGAAAACACCATTTCATGACAATTATTTCCAAAAATTATGATTTTAGGAAGATAGATGTTCTTACTAAATACCGTTTGAAAACAAATCTGTTAGTAATCGCCTTTGATTGTGGCCTCTTTTTGACGTAAATAAAGGCACCAATGAAGGCATTAACTGAAAGCAAAGACAGGAGCTGCTTCTTCTCGTTTACCAGAACCCCATTCTGAAACCTTCTCAATGTCTTTGCTTGCTCGGGTCGATCTTCTCCAAATGAATCAGAGGTCTCAGTTGCTCAGCAAAGCTCCGCATGTCCTCTGATACGGTGTCCTGGCCGGCTGGCGCCAAAACACTCAGTTCAACCAAATGTGAAAGCGACATTCGCTCTGTGTTCTCAGTGTTCCCGGGCACCAACACACGGGACACGTTGCACACCACAACCTTCATAGCTCCTTTTCGGAATATGTGCCCGCTGGTCACAAATTCGTGGTCCATGCGGAAGCCCATCTCATTGAGAAAATCCGGAAGGCTGTGAGAGGCGGCCACGTCGACGCAGTTACGCACCAGAGCGTGGCGGCTCTTATCTCCTACTTCAGGTTGGCCCAGATAGCGGAGGTGCCACGGAGCTGTGGGGTGGGAGAGAGAGCGGCGAGCGCGCAGAATGAAAGGGTTTCCTTGCTGGCCTTTCAAAAGGTATACCAGTTCATGGTCTGTAAACGTCTCCGGCTCCATGTTGTCACACAAACCACGCAGACGATGCAACAGGCTTTCCAGAGCCGCGTCTAACACGCTTCCTGAAATTAAAAGTGAAAAAGAATAAAATACAGACAAAATATTTTCATGCAAAAACAGACACTGCAATCTGCTAAAAATCAATCAATAGCTAGATAGCTATTGATTGATTAAAACTACCTTAAAACTACACAATTTCTAATATCTTAGCACTTCCTTTTAAAAACACACAGACATGCATGCATATTAAAATATTGTATGATACATATTGTACACCAGCACAGTTTGAGATCAGAGAAACCTTTAATTTTTTGCAGGGTTCAAACACATTTCTTATTTCAAAGTTTAACACTTCTTCAGACTCAAATGTTTACATTTTCTGCTGTGGTAGTTGTAAATCGGACATTAAGGTAAAAAATATTAAGACTGGACTGCAAAAGAGTTCATTAAATCAAATCATCAACACTGTAGTGTTGATTCTGGAACTGGTACAATGCCATTACATAACGTTTTGGAAATAATTCAAATTCCTTAAAATTTTTACATTAAGAACTTTTTACCATAATTTAGTTTGTAAAATCTCCCATCCTAACAGTTGCAGAACCATAAGTCCAGTGTCAAACCATGAATGAGGAAAGTCAAGAGACTAAAATCGTTTTGAAATATACCTTTTTTTAATTATTATTTCTGTATTAAAGACAATCAATACGTTTTTCCAAGCTGCATGATCAATGAATTCAACGTGAATTTTTGAAAGCAGGCTATTGACTCAAGATTATTTGTTCATGTGTACAGTAATACAAGAAGATTCATTGAGAACACTTGCATATAAATGTGTGTTCCTGTTCGTGGCTGTATCAAATACATCCTACCTTGTAGCAGATACTCCATCATATTGATTGTGCCACTGGTGATGGGCATAACAGTAACAGGAGGAGCCTCCATCTCGTCTCAGGATTCTAGGAGCTTAAAGGAGCAAAACGTAGTCAATACATTAAATAGTATTAAAGTAACACCGAGCACACTGAGTTATTGTTTTCAGGGCAAAATATAATGTTTTTGTAACATGTTTTTGTAAGCCAGACCGTACCAATTCTATTAACTTTCATTCTAACTAGCATTGAAAGCTAACTGCTATGCAAATCGTTTATCATCAGCGTGTTTTGTAAAATGTTACCTGAAAAATACAGGAAAGACAATGCGTCTCCCCGCCGAATGAAGACAACTGGGGAAATGTTCGTATATGTTGTATCTCCTTGCCTAGTCTCACAGTGTTAGCACATTCAACACAAGGCTAGTAGCTCCCCAGTTAGCTCAGAGCTATTTCACTAATCGCGATTGAGGCGCAACGCAGTAACGCAAATAATCGTCTAAACATTTGACAATATTGTAAAAAAAAAAGAAAAGAAAAAAGTTGACAATCAAAACAAAACTGTTCGCTACAATTTAACTGAAACTATCGCCACATCTGCACCTACTGCCTGAAAGAAAAACAGCTTTCCTTCTCCTTCTTCTTCCTCCTCCGCCTCCTTTTCTTCTTCTTCTCAGTAAAGACAAACTAGGCGCACTTTATCCAGGTTACTACTGCCTCCTAGAGTTTAGGGTGGGTGTAAAATCAAAATCAGACTCCATTATTGGTTTTTCAAGCAAATATTTATTCCAATCTCTTTTTTCTTTCTTTTAGATTTTTTTTTTTTGCAGTGACATAAATTTATTGTTGCAATTTTGTCATGTAAAAAAGGGGCCTTTTAAAAATAAAACCAAAACATCAAAAGTGTAGCAAAATGTTAATAATTTAAATTCTACGTATTCTACAACAACAACAACAGTAATAATAATAATAATAATAATAATAATAATAATAATAATAATAATAACCACAATAATAATAATATTGGTTCAGAATGTACTTATAATTAACATAAGCCAAAACAGAGCAGTATATGTTTTCTTGATTCAAGATATTTATAAAATTATAAATAGCTCCATCATATTTGTTGTTTAAAAACTGGATGGAAAAATTCCTTGTGGCTGTGCGGATGTTTTCAAAGAATTATGAAACACAAATATCTGCTGTGGAATCCATTACAAAATCTATTGACAGTGTGGAAATTATGATCACCAAAATTTCCGTGTTGATTTCACTCAACACTAAATGGTATTTCCTTTACACTTTAATTCACTGTAAATACAGCTTCCAGAAACTCTGTGTTGACTTCTTGTTTTTGCTGGTGTCCTGATGATAACAGAGGAATAAATTACTGCTGACTCCTCTTCCGCCTGCATAAAATAACAAGTTTCATAATGTGGTCAAGACAACACAGATGGCATTTCAGTGCCATGCCTCTTTAAGCTTGTATAAAGTTCACTGAAAACCAGTATCTATCTGCATCTGTTCTCACCTCACGAGTGAAGCCACAACATGAAAGACGAAAAGGAAAGGCTAAGGAGAAACAGAAACAAAGAGTTTTGGGGGGCGCATAAATTTCAAGACTGCAAATTGCTGGCTGTGTAAAAAAACACAGGAAGTAAAAAAAAAAAAGTAAATAGTTGCCGTCTTACCCGCCTGTATTCTTGATTTCAAACAGAAAGTTAAAATTGCAAGTAAAATAAAAAATGCAAAGGCAGCTACTGCTCCATAAATAATTGGCATCAAAGATTCAGTCTTCTGAAAATCACCTGTAAAACAACATAAACAAAATTTTAAAAATCCTCAATAAAAAGTAATTTTCACATATTTTTTTTAAATACAGATATATACAGACATGATCATGTTTGCTAATGCCGCTGTTAAAATGCACAGAAAATCTCTAATTAAATTAATATGTCTATGCAGCAGAAGTATCTCACACAGAAACTTTTTTAAAAGTTCAACATTTGAGTTCAGTATTTTGACAATTTAATCCATATTATGAAATCTTTGCTCTTAACAAGATCCCCAGCAACAAAATTAATGAGGCCATTACTGTTTTTACTTCTAAACCTTAACTCTGTGTAGGACAATTCTGTCTTGTCCTATTATGTTTCACAATCTGTGCAGGATGTTTATGCACAGATTGTGCCACATGTTTTCAATAAGTATTCTGCTTAAAAGACTAAATAATAATCAATTTTGAATTAAGTTGTGGAGTACACAAGTGAAAATGTTGCAGCAATGTAAAAAGTTAATTATGCACAAGAAACTGACTCAAAGTATTACAAATCTTCAGTCCTACTAAACAGTGGAGGGAAAGGTTTTTTTCCCCCAAATATTTATCCATTGTTTTACACCAGGCCTACATTAAAGCAACTATTTCAGAAAAGCTGGATGTCATTTAATCAAATCACACTTTCTTTGGAAGAGAATTGAACAAACTCATCATGGAATTATAAAATAAAAATTGTTTACAACCCTAAAACACCTGCCTGGTTTCAGATGCAAGCAGTATTTCATGGCTACTATGAAGACTTTGTGACATAAATACCATATCTGTAGTACTCTAAAAATTTTTACCACATACACTGTATGTGGTAAAGAACACAACCAAGTCATGGGATAGGCAACACTGTAAGTAATTCAAGGACAAAAGTAAACTTACAAATAATACTGTGGGAGGACACATATGCCACAATCAGGGAGTAATAGCAAAGAAAATGCAGAAAGGAGAATCCAACTGACTGAACAAAGGAGAATAAATATAGAGCAAAGTGATTGAGTAGGGAAAATCTTGATAGAAATAGACAAAGGGAAATACAGGGACAAAAATATCATATAACAGAACATGAGGAAGTTTTATAACAATCAGGAATGAGCACTGAAGTATAAGACACCAATTGTGAGCAATGAAACAGCAGAAAATTACATTTTAAAAATTAAAGTATAAACTTCACAAATGAGCTTTTGCTATAGTTATTTTAATAAGACATTTAGGATTGTTGACAGGTTATTTTGATTCAAACAATTATTTCTTAACATTACATATTTTTTCTAGTTAAGTACATCTACTCAAATTAAAAATTGTGTTTTCTAAGCATTTTACTGGGACTGTGTAGTACTTTTACAAAAAGAGATTAATTTATTTAACATTTTTAAGTTTGGTACAACGGTACCAACAAACATATTTCAATCTATAGAGAAAAATACACACCTGTTGTGTTTAAAGCAGCTGAGACTGAGTAGGTGTTTGTAGTTGGTGTAGGCTGCCCATCCAAGATCTCAGTTGAATTACAGATGAAGGATCCGGATGGATCTATGCCCACTGATATCATTTGATTGCTCATCAGAAGACTTGAAATATTTTTTAGATCATTTAATCCCACATTGCATGTCACAGCACAAAATAAAATAGAATGTCCTTTGCGGGAAACTGTCAGAAAGCAAACAAATGGTATAAGACAAACTTTTTTTCATCTAATAAATGTAAAAGAAATTAGAAAGATTAAAACAAAACTTTGGAAAAATTTCAAATGCTCACCTGTGATGACGCATAAGTTGATTGTACGCCGTTTCTGATTCGGGCCACCACATCTATTCACCCAGCAGGTGTATTTCCCACCATTAGTATTTTTGACAGATTCAATATATAAGGTCTTGTTGGTAGTAACAGTAACCATCTCTGATCTTAGCTCTAATTTTCTTTGGGTTGCATTACTGGCTTCAAATGTCCATTTGAAGTTTGCAAATTCACCTGGGCATGATTGGGTGAAACTGCTGCCGGAAAGGATGTAAAATGTCTCTTGAATTTCATCCAGAATTTCTAAAATCACAACAAACACAAACACTGACTCACAATGAAATTGTGCTTTGAGATATAGAACTTTAGAACTGAATGAATGATACACATTAAAACTTTTATATTAATGACAGGAGCTCAAACCTTTCTGCATGGTGATGAAGCTGGACGGTTCCCTGCTGCAGGTTTCCTGATAGCAGTTTTCACACCAGTAGTCGCCCTGATCTTTGTCAGTAAAGTTATTTATAACCAGAGACCGATTTGCCGCAATGTCTACTTTTGGACGGAACCCATCATAGTGTCTTAGTCCTTTCTTATCCAGAAAGAACAGCTGGATTTTCTTACTGTGCTCATTCTTCTTGTAAAACCATTTGAAAGAGCCTGAGTCAGCACGGTGAAGCTGACAATGTATCAGAACTCGACATCCCAGCCAGGACTGACGCTGTTGTGCTGCAGCTATCCGTTTTCAGTTAGTCATAAAGACAAGAGACAGGTTCAAAATGTTGCTTTTGAAATACATTGCGATGACAGTGATTTTATCAGCTACTTACCATTTCCAGGGAAAACGCATGCGTTCCAGTAAGTCAGAAAAAATACACAAATGAACGCGTTTCGAGGTGATGAAGTCATGTCTTTGCATAAACAAAGGCAGAATGAAGCAAATCAAAGACTCCTTCTCCAGTCAAACCATCATCACAGCTCATCAAAATGTAGTTCAGAGACTCTGTGCAGCATCACAAGGTTTTAGTTTGAGTGTCACAATTAAGCTGAGGCTGACACATAGGAAGTGGTCCAACAGCCACTGCATAGGAAATTTAACCAAGCTCTCGCCCACACGTTTTTGTCTATCGCTGCGTCTTATGTATTTCGCTTTCTGCATCTCCTAGGTGTCGAGATACAGCATGTGTATCACAAACAAGTTTGTGTTCTCATACAGAGGTGTCAGGTCTTTTTTCTATAATTCTGTGCACATGTTACTGGAGTTTTATTTTATTTTTTAGAAAAATTCTGATTGACTTTGTGAAAGCCAGCTTTAATCTAAATTAAAGCTGAAACATTTAAAGTTGTTAAAGTTTGATTGTCAGAAATGTTTTGCAGGTTAATTCGCAAACTCAAATTTTTACAGGTATTTTCTTGCAGTGAATCAACAGTTGAAACATTTGCTTAGCATGAGTACCATGAAGCAGACATGAGTCACACAAGCAGACTACGTCCAGGAGCGGGTATAAGTGTTTCTTAACTGTCTTTTGAGATTTTCCCCAATTATAAATTAAGATTTTTCTAACAGAAAATTCAATTGAGCATATGCAGCACAAGGTAAAATTACAAAAGTATATTACCAAAATTTTTAATAAATTAAATAAAAGCAAATTAAATAAATTAAGATGAGCCTATAAGTAAAAGGAAGATCTAGGTCAAGGGGGTTTAAACAGTGAACTCACTGAACTGAAAGCAGTTTCATCTCCAGACTTTGTACCTCCAGTAGATGTAGATTTAAAATAATTTTTATTCAACCAAAAAATAAGTTTCAGATAGGAAATATAAAGGAATTTGAAGAGAAAATCATTTTAAGGGCATATTTATTTCTATTTGTTTTATTTATATATTATTAAAAATGGCATTGAGAAACTTTAGTATTCCCTTATTTAGTAATTGATGCAAAAGTCCTTATTGGCACTACAGCAAGTTTTCGCTTCCACGTTATAATGATGTGATTCTTCCTCAAACAACAGACACAGATTTGTTCTTTGTTGGAAAGCAAAATGTGAGAAAGACCAAGAGGACTGCTGCAAGGCACTGTATAGATTGTCTGGAAAGTTAGCTTGCTGAGTGGATAGAGAGTACGCCATGTACTGACTGAAGTCTGCCAGAGACATTATAAATGTCAAAACATCCTTCATATTTGGGGATGGAAGATGTACATTTCATTCTTTTAGGTAGAACAGTGATGACATCAGGAATGTTGCTCAAAACCCCAAGGATAACAACAAAAGTGTTGAATCTGACAGACTGATAAATTAAAGAATTTGCCTAGTACTCAATGATTAAGCAATATGTGCAATCAATAGTACAAAAACAAACACAATATAGCAAATAATAGTTTGACACCAATCACTTGCAACATGGCTTTGCTTTGACACACAATTTCCTTCCCACAATGACATCATGACAACCATGATGTCATTAGAATTTATTGTGTTTTATTTTTCTAAATGTAAAAGTATCGCTGATGAAAACAAGAATCAAAAGAACTGTTCTTCCCAGGATGTGTCTCAGTGTGGAGGTTCTTGAAGGCATGAGTCCTGAATGAATAGACTTTCCTTCATAATCCTCTCAAGGTTGAGATTATGTTGCTTGTGCATGTACTCTATGACATGTTTCCTTCCACTAAACTTTCCACTCCTGTGCAGCATTCTGTGAACAGTCAGCTCTCTTAATTACGAGAATTTGTGGTTTACTCTTCTTGTTGTCAAATCAACAAGACAAATGTCAAATGACAAATTTGACAAATGTCAAATCGTGTTACTAGCAAGCCGTAACAACATTTCTTTATTAAAAATCACATTTTTGTCAGCAATATTGAATTGTGAGTTTTTATTAGTCTTGAGCCAATTTCATCATTATTACCAGAAATAAAGAGTTTAAATATATCACTGTAATCGTTACAAATTCATAGATTTTTTTTCATGTTTTATTAATAAAAATACATTTTATTGAGATGTACCGGTTTGTTAAGAAGTAAAAATTATGTGTCTCAGCATGTTGTTGACCAAAATGAAATAAAAAACCAAATTACATGATGGCATAAAACATGCTGCTTAATTGAACAATTGCAATAATCAGAAATATTTCAAGTATTTCCTTTTAAATTTGGGGCATAAATCAGCAAGTGCATGCGCGGGTTCAGACCCCGCCCCGACTTGCACAATCTCCGCCTTTCCTCAGTCAACCACACAAACACAAAGCCCGGCTGTCTGCTGCGTCATTTCTCCTCCTGCACAAACACGGACGTCGGGATGGAATTGACAGAAGCTCTCTTCAGATACCAGCTGGCCTGGCCTCATATGCACTGCTTTTTAGCTGCGCTGTGCCTCGTTGCCGCCGTGTACAAATTAACCTTCATCCTCCTCAAACGGAAGGCTGTTCTGAAGAGCTTTGAAGCCTTTCCAGGACCCCCGGCACACTTGTTGTTTGGAAATGTTCTGGAGGTAACGAGTTTTAGTGGCATCCAGCAATGCAGCAGCTGCAGCCTTTTGTAGCTGTAACAGTCTCAACGTTAAGGCTTTTATTGTGTGTAATCAAGATTAAAATCCTTAACTGAAGTGTTGTTTAAAGTTTTATACAATCTTTGTAGTCTATTCTAATTTCTATATAATAAATCACATTGCTGAGAGAACGGCATAAAGTTTATATTAAGCATTTTGTTAAATAACTGGAATTAATACACTGTAAAAAAGGAACCTCAGGGGTTATCACATTAACAAAAGAATATCATGTACTGTTAACTAAATAATTCCATGTTTGAGCCAAAAACATGATACAATCATGTTGCATAAACAAGATATTCCACAACTTCAACGTTTATAAAATTGAATCATGTTGAGCGAACATGATTCATTATAGTCAGACCGATCCTATGCTGAAGACCACGAGTGAGATCACGGGATATCACGCAAGTTCACGCGAGAATACGCGAGACAATCGGTCTCTCTCGCAAATGGAATAAAATGTATTCAAGGTGAGATAACGTGATTCAATTACGTCAGCTAGATCTTCCGCCAAAAAAAAAGAACGTCGGGGCGTATTACATTAACAAAAAAATATCATGTACCTTTCACACAATAATGTTGGGTTTGAAGCGAAAACGTGATAAAATCATGTTGGATAAACAAGATATTCCACGACTTCACATTTATAAAATTGAATCATGTTGAGCGAACATGATTCATTATAGTTAGACTGATATTGTGCTGACGACAACGAGTGAGATCACGGGATATCACGCGAGAACACGCGAGACAATCGGTTTTTTCTCTCAACTGGACTAAGGTGATTGAATGACGTTATCTCAACTTGAATACATCTAATTAACATATATATACCCACCGCGGGTGGTTCTTATCCTCTGAGCTCGGGTCCTCTACCAGAGGCCTGGGAGCTTGAGGTCCTGCGCAGTATCTTGGCTGTGCCAAGATATATATATATATATATATATATATATATATATATATATATATATATATATATATATATATATATATATATATATATATATATATATATACGTTTTTTTTAATTATTTTATTCAATATCAATATTGTCAAAGTTAATCTAATAAACACAGTGACGTCAGTTCCAAAGCGCTATTGTGTCAGACTCATCTCCCGCTGAAGAGGATCCAGCGACATCAAGAGATTACGGAAAATCACGCGAGATAACTGGCTTGCACCTTGTTGGGTTTTTTCAAGGGCAGAGGGGAGATTCCTGGCGTGCATCTACTTAATTTGAAGAAGGTAAGAGTCAAACTATTTTCATCTAAATCCATATAAAAATATGTAACTTAAAATTTCTCTACCATTTTCTACTTGTTCCATACTTGCGTCACATTATTTCATGTTCTGTAGATTAAGTCGGTTAGGTTAAGGCAGATAGCTATATGTGATATCATTGGTAAGTTTACATTTATCGCCGCACCATGTTAGGTACATTCTGTGCGAAAAAAGTCTGCAGAGCCATATGTAGTGTACAAAGCTGCTGCCAGAGACACAAATGGACCCCAGAAATGTCACAGTTTTGCTCCCCTGAGCTCCCTGGAGGTTTAGTGGATTTTTAAACACACGGATCTAACATCAGTCTATTTCTAACTATTTTAATTCTATTTCAGTAATGTTACTATGGAGGTAAATGTAGATACACACACTTTGGTACCTTTCTATCATCATCGAGATTCTTAATTAATTATGGTAGTAAAAAGTCCTACATTTCAGTCGGTGAAACCTGCAGAAAGCATTGCTTTCTGAGCTTTGTTAAATGTTCCTTAAATACCTGTTAGTTATGGATTTCTAGTATATTTTGTCAGGTTAAAACTCTCAATGGATTATCCGTTATTACAGACTTGAGCTTTCTATTTTTTTTTTCTTTAAAATACATATTCCCTGCTGTAAAGATGTTGGGGTTTTTTGGACTCTTCTTTGTTGTCCCCAAATAATTGTAGCTCAGAAACAATATTGAAGTTCATTGGTAAAATTGGTAAAATTTTGAAATGTTGATGTTTTTTGTGTTGATTGTGCTCATTTTGACCTATGTTACTATTGCTTCTACCATGTTCAATTCACCATTGTTCTGCACATACGTGCTTGCATGTGTCCAGTGGTTATATTCATGAGGCATTCAAGGGACTTGTACTAAAAGATACAACTCAGTTCACTATGAATTGCATATTTTAATGGCTGAAAATATATCTGATCTCTTTCAGAACATCACCTGTCTGTAATCCACCTGCGTAAGTACTGGTCAAGGGGCTCATCGGCTATCAAGTTATAGATTTCAGTGGCTAATAGTAAGTTTTGCCAGATCTAAAGTTACTGAATGTAGTGTTAGAGAGCTTATAGAGCTAGAGTTCAGCTAAACATTTATTTGGCCAGTCTGTTTTATTTGTCTTTATTTGCGTGGGGATGTGGAAATGTAAGGAGTGTAGTCTCTCTCTGTCTCGTAGATATGACCTGTTAAAACATTTTACACTTAAACACCGGCATATGCGACGTTATCCATGCCCACACATAGACTGTCCATGTAATTGTAAGACATGGAATGCTTTGCATATTCATTAAGTAGAAGGATATAGACTGTGTTGACCATTCTGTACTTTTCACATATTTCTTTGGTGATATATTCATGTCTTTATTTAAACCTCTAACAGCTTCAGTTAGAGGTTTAAATAAAATGTTAAACTCCATTTTAGTCATGGCATAATGAAGGGATACTAACAATTTTAAATATCTTTCAAATAGACTGCAAGCCACTGATCACTTTTGTTGTCACTTCCTTTGAATGTAGCTATGTTTTCAAGTGTGTGAACCTATACTGCTGGAGTTTTGAGATTGTTCTCATTGTTTTTTGATCTGCATATTTAGGAAGACACTGCTGAGGTCAGACGAGAGTGCATCCTCAAAGGTCTGTGTGTACCTAAATGAAGATCCAGAGAAGCTGGTGAGGGAGTACATGGTATGTTAAATTCTCTTTGTGTTTACAATAGAACTCCTAAGAGTTGTTAAAATACTTTCACCAACTAAGGTCCATGAGTGACTCAATCAATGTCAGTCTTAATTTATTTACTTAATTACATGTGAATTGTCTCCCCCCCCCAATACCCTTCCCTAACTCCTTAGGACGTTGATGAATGAAATGGCCAAAGCCGAGACTGTCCTCGGAATCGTCATTGAGCAGAGGGTGCCGATGCACATCTGGATGTTGGGGGATTGTCCTGGAGGAGGTGGAAGTTATGAACAGCTTGGGCAGTGTATCTTCTCTGCAATAGTGATGCTGCTGGGACTAATCTACGCACTAAACTTGAGCTACCCTCAAGTTTAGTGCGTTCAGCACTCAACTTGCTCAGTAACTCAAGCATACCTTTGAAGTAATACAGAAAATAATAATGAAATTGGATGGAAAGAACTTATCAAAGAAAGCACAAGTTCTCAATATGAAACTCGCTGCTAAGTTGAGTAAAGTTTCATATGGAAAATGAGTGTTTAAAGTCTGCAGTAGAAAAGATTTATATTGTTACAGTTCTCTAAGTTGAGCAACTATACTGACATTTTATGTTGTAAAGAATTGGCTGGGAAATGAAACTGTAACCTTTTTGTAGTTGTTTTTTTATTTCAATGTCCAACTCAGCTGTGTTTTGTGCTGTGTAAAAAAACGATGTATAACAATTCTGAAAATACAATTGTGTTGTACCTTTTCTAATTGTTGAGTGTTCTTCCTACACTTTCACCTAGTGCTATCTTAAAATGCTTGATTAACGCTTGAAAAAATGTCTTTGAATTAACGTCATGAAATAATGGAAAGGATTTCCACATGATTAACTAGCTGTCTTTTAGCATGAAGCATATTTGTTGAGCTAACTTGCTTTTAGTGAGTTGGACCTACTGAATCAGGTAGTTTGTTGTTTTGTAAGTTGTAAATTGAAATGAAGTAATATATATATATATTGAAGCTTTTTAATTATATGTTCAGTTATTTGGACATATATTTGTTAATTAATGCAAATTAGAACCTATGTGTGTAAATATCTTAATTTGTGCAGTGCAGCAGTGCATGCCTGTGTATTTTCATATGAATTGTATTGTTATTGCTTCTTTAGTTTAAACAAGATGGGACCGACTTGTTCAAGGTGTTAAAGTGGGCGGAGAGCTATCCCTATGCTTTCCCTTTGTGGTTCGGTCCATCTGTTTGTATTCTCAACATTCACCACCCAGATTATGTCAAAACTATACTAGCATCAACAGGTGGGCACATATTTTTCTTTCACTTTAACTCTTTGTTACAGTATCACAACCATGATGTAAGCATCAATTTAACTTGGCTTTCATGTACTTTTTTTTATAATAGAGCCAAAGGATAGTTTTGCATATAAATTTATCGAGTCTTGGATTGGTAAGACTACTTTGCTCTTTCCTACTTGCTTGTTTTGTCTCAATGCAGGGTTAACTTTTAACATTTTAGTGACTCACTCTCATTGTGTCTCTTTTTCTCTAGGAAATGGTTTGTTGGTATCAAAAGGTCAGAAGTGGTTTCGCCACCGGAGGCTCCTGACTCCAGGTTTCCATTATGATGTTTTAAAACCATATGTGAAACTGATGTCAGACTCTGCCAAAATAATGCTGGTATGTAGTTTATTAATTAATAATAATTAGACATGTTGCTAACAATGCAATGCATTGCCCTAATTCTATTCCATTTCAAGAGTGAAATAAGTGTGAAACAACCTCTTTCTTAAAGGCATTTTGATTGCTGATATGGTGAGCTTGCAGGTTTTGCTTTTTAAGCATAGGCTTATTTCTTGGTCAGCACACTCTCTGGCAGTGGTTATGTTAAACTCGCTTTAATATGAATAAGGTGTTCCGGCGTCTTTCACATTATTACAGGCCTACAACATGGTGATTCTTGTGTTATTCTTCAACTTCCTAATCAATATTCTTCAACTAGTTCTTCAACTGGGAGATAATTTGGACCAGATGGTTGAAACTTGTGTGCTGAAATGACTCAAATATTGTAAATACACATGAACACTGGTTTTGAATAAGAATAGTCAACCCTTAGTCACCCTGAACCCTGTTGAAAACATAAGAACTATGCCTAAAATCCAGCTTTGTGCAAGGGCGCCCCCCCAAAATAAAATCAATCAATCAATCAATCAATCAAATTTTATTTGTATAGCACATTTCAGCAGCAAGGCATTTCAAAGTGCTTTACATCATAAACACAAGAACACAAAGTCATGCAACATATAATAGACAATACATTGTTACATATTACATTTCAAAAACAATTCTAAACAGATGTGTTTTTAATTGCGATTAAAAGAAGTCAGGGTTTCTGCTGTTTTACAGTTTTCTGGAAGTTTGTTTCAAAGTTTTGGTGCATAGATGCTGAAAGCTGCTTCTCCTCTCTTGGTTCTGGTTCTGGGGATGCAGAGCAGACCAGAACCGGAAGACCTGAGAGGTCTGGAAGGTTGATACAACAACAGCAGATCTTTGATGTATTGTGGTGCTAAACTGTTCAGTGATATAAACTAACAACAGTATTTAAAATCTATTTTGAGCTACAGGGAGCCAGTGGAGGGACTTTAAAACTGGTGTTATGTGCTCTATCTTCCTGGTTCTAGTGAGAACGCGAGCAGCAGCATTCAGCTGTTTGATTGATTTGTTGGACAGGCCTGTGAAGATACTGTTGCAATATTCAATGCGACTAAAGATAAACGCATGAATGAGTTTCTCTAGATCTGGCTGAGACATTAGTCCTCTAATCCTGTAGTTGTTCTTCAGGTGATAGAAGGCTGACTTTGTAATTGTCTTTATGTGGCTCTGGAGGTTCAAGTCCGAGTCCATCACCACTCCCAGGTTTCGGGCCTGATCGCTAGTTTTTAGTTGTAATAACTGAAGCTGTGCATTGACTTTAGATCGTTCCTCTTTAGGTCCAAAATAATGACTTCAGTTTGTTTTTGTTCAGCTGGAGAAAGTTTTGGCACATCCACACATTTATCTGTTCTAAACATTTATTCAGTGATTGGATGGGTTCAGAGTCACCTGGTGACATCGTAATGTAGAGCTGTGTGTCATCCGCATAGTTATGGTAGCTAATATTATTTCCTGTTATGACCTGAGCTAGTGGGAGAATATAGATAGAAAATATAGATCACAACTAGGTTAGCAAGACATCTTGAGATAATTTTTCCAGAAACTTTGTTAAGGCTGCCATAATTGTGATGTCTCTGCAACTTGCATAGAACAAATTATCTAACCATCAGTGTGGGTGTATTTTTGATTATATATGTAGGGTTAGGGAAAGTCCCTGATAGTTTAAAACCAATAAAACTTTTCTGCTTTAAAAAGTCTTAAAGTTGTGTGGTGTCCTTTTTCCAACTCTTGAAAAAAAAAAACAATACATAAATTAATTAAAGTTTCAGATTAATATGCAGTTTATGCTGCTGCTGAGTATAACCTCCAACTGAACCTGAACTGTGGTTAATGCTTGTATCACATTTTTTTCTGCTTGCATGTTACATTTGTTGCCTTAAATTTTTAAGGACAAATGGGAATGCTATGCCAACTCTAAAGAGACCTTTGAATTGTTTGAGCATGTCAGCCTGATGACACTGGATAGCATCCTGAAGTGTGCCTTTAGCTGCAACAGCAACTGTCAGACAGAGGGGTGAGTAACCTTAACAAAAATCACCATTTCAGCTTCTGCGTCCATTCAAAACGAGTTCAGATGCTTTACTAACAAGCAGAAGGAAGATATCACCTTTAATGTGTTCCTGCTTTTTTTCTGTCAGGGGAACAAATGTCTACATCAAAGCAGTGTATGAGCTCACCAATCTTATTAACTTCCGGGTGAGAATGTTTCCATACCACAGCGATCTTATTTTCCACCTCAGCCCACATGGTTTCAGATACAGGAAAGCATTCAAGGTGGCTCGCAGTCATACAGGTAAGCCCTGAGATCAGTGACATCTTTGTTTAATATAATCTGTCAATTTAAAGGGTAAATGTTGGTTTTCTTTTCAAGATAAGGTCATCAAAAAGAGGAAAGAAGCACTAAAGGAAGAGACAGAACTGGGCCGCATACAGGCCAAAAGATACTTGGATTTTCTGGACATTCTCCTCTTTGCGCGAGTATGTGACATCAATTCAAGTTTACTGATTTAAAAGCAAAAGTGTGGCTTTGTTTATTTGTTCAGTGAGAGCTGACAAAAAGTACCGGCAGAGGTCTAGCTAAAGTGATATTTACAAAAACGATTAAAGCAAAAACACTATCAAACACCTCATCATAATTGCAAATAATTGTAAAGCAAGTTTCTCATGCATCAAATTAGGGCATATTTATCAGGAAAACTGGTGAAGATGCATAAATAACCCAAAACAAATTCATCTTTTGTTATTAGATTAGAAAAAGTCATTAGAAAACACAACATTCATTCGTAGGAGGAAAAAGCAACACATTCAGAAAAATGTTTTTTTATAAAATCATCAGTGGCACAATTATTGGCACCCAAAATGAACCATTTTTTTCTTTTCACTTTTTAGAAGTTAATATGACTTTCGAGGAACCTAAATGCATTTAGAGTTATATAGAGAACCCTGCCCAGCATATCTGTTGGGCAAAGGTGTATAATGCTATTAAAAGAATAAAAACTTTTTTTCTACTTCTGAAATCTGACACTTAAAAATGCAACAACAAAAATCAAATGAACCAATTTACAAAATAGCCTCTCGTGTGCAGTTGATTGGAGAAGAATCTGTGACGCTGTGGGTCTGTCTCTCTTCCAAAGTCCTGTTAGCGTGCATAACATCAAATGCTCTTCGAATACGTCTACCAAATCTAAATACCACAGAAAACCTGTTGGGTGAACTTAAGAGAAGGAAAATAAGCGAGGACAGGGTGATCAAAAGATATGTTGTAAAGAAAAATGGCTAAACATTTAATTTTTTTAAGTCGAATTTATGTCAGTGTAGTAAAAAGATGAATTTGCTTTCAAGCTTTTTAAATTGCATTACAGGGTTGTCAATCAATGTGCCCGGCACTGAAAAATAAAATTTAAATTGAAAAAGGAATTACATAAACCTGATAACAGTTTAGAGATGAGGCAACACAAGGTCAGAGCGTTAATGCAGCCAGAAGTGACTCAGCAAGTAAACATGCTCTGCATACTAATTTTGCACCATTTTGTTTCTTTATGCTAAAAGGCTGAGGGGAAAAAAACTAGATAGAGCTAAGAATATTTCCTTTTGCAACATTTATAGTCTCTTTTAACAACTCTGAGCAGCTGATAAGGATTTCTTTAAGAACAACAAGGTTGCCGTCTTCTATCTGAAACTCAGTGGTAGAACGGAGATACGAGGGCAATGACAGATTAAAGAACATTTATTACACAATCGTAAAATAAAACATATAACAGTGTGGTTAACCTACAGATGTGAACGTCACTATTTTAAAAGCTGCTTTGAGTCACAACTTTCGGAAATAATTGAGACTTCGAAGTGTTTAATGCTTGCCAATGTGTTTTGAATGTCTTTTTGTGGTTGTTGTTTTATGAGATGTATTTTTGTAACTGGTTGAAACATGCAGAAAAATTTTAAATGTCCGGTGCATCCAAACAATCTGCACATCCCTGTAAAAATGCTTAGGCTAATGACCAATGAAGTAGCCTTTATGGTCTGCAATTATTTTTATTTTGAATTCCTTCTTTAGGACGAAAACCAGCAGGGCCTGTCAGATGAAGACCTGCAAGCAGAAGTGGACACTTTTATGTTCGAGGGGCACGACACCACAGCCAGTGGCATCTCGTTCATCCTCTACTGCTTGGCCTGCCACCCAGAACACCAGAAGCTCTGCAGGGATGAAATTTGTGAAGCTTTACAAGGCAAAGACACCATGGAGTGGTGGGCAAACTTTGAAAAAACAATGCTAGTATAAGAAAATTGGTCCTCAGCGGTGCTAGATTAATAGATAAATCTAATCCATGCACACCTTCACTGCCTCTCTGTGAATAACATTAAGTCTCTTGTCTCATATTAAGGGAGGATCTTAATAAAATTCCATACACAACAATGTGCATCAAAGAATCCCTTCGTCTTTACCCTCCTGTGCCAGGAATATCCAGGCAGATCACTAAACCCATCACCTTCTTTGATGGAAGAACATTGCCAGCAGGTCAGTGACATTAGTGTATTGTTTTGAAGAAACACTGAGGTTGACAGGTACTGCACAGAAACTACAAGAGAAAATAAAACATTAACTTTCTAAGTTGTGGAACTGGTTTTATGTGGAACTCATTACAGAACAAGCCTTACATAAATCTGCACACATTAACAAGTGAAGCTGTGGTTGCAAAAAATATTTATTTCCTGCACTGTGCATTGCGCAGTATATTCCTTGTTACTGTATTACTTAGTCACGTAAAAACTTCATTATAAGCATTATTTTATGCAGATTGCTATAAAGCACTTTCTATACAAAACCAAGTTTATCCCTACAGCATGTTCAGAAATGTATTGACACAAGTAGTTTTACAGCAATGACCCAAAGTTAACTTCAAGGCAGGTTTGAAGAAGAGGCATGTTAGCATTTTGTTCACTGTCCTAACTAAAATACAGCTTTATTTTTTTAAAGGCTCTCACATTGGAGTAAGTGTGTTTGCAACTCACAGAAACTCAACAGTCTGGGAAAACCCTCATGTAAGTCATGCAAAATTTTTTATAACTATAATGGCATTGGAAAATGTAATTTTTAAATGGATCCAAACTATAGAAACAGCATTAATAAGCCAGGTGAATTTGGCTTATGTAATGAATGATGTTTGAATTTGTTGCATGTTTTATTGACCTAGGATTTTATTTAAATAAAGTTAGATCAGATTGTTTTTTTTTTTTCTATATGCATTTTCTTTGATATGCCTGTAATATAACCTGATGTTTTCTCTCCTCCTGTGTTGCTATAGGTCTTTGACCCGCTGCGTTTCCTCCCAGAAAATGTCTCAAAGAGGTCACCTCATGCATTTGTGCCTTTCTCAGCTGGACCAAGGTTTGGAAAAACTCACCACTGTGACTGACTTATCTCAGTTTAGCCACTTTGTCTTTAATCTTATATCAGTCTGCAGCTTGTGAATGTGTAACGTAGCACCCACACCTAGTTTTACATGCATAATAAAGTTCCTGTTGTTTGGGGGTAGGGTAAAGCAGAGGAAAGGTGAAGAGAGTACATGGCTGCTTTGCTACAACTTGTTTTTGATTTATTTCCTGCTTAACCCTTTAACGTCCTTCTTAATGTTATCTTCCCTTAGAAACTGCATCGGCCAGACTTTTGCTATGAATGAGTTGAAGGTGGTGACAGCCTTGACACTGAAGCGGTACGAGCTGATAGAGGATCCCAACATGAAGCCCAAGATGATTCCCAGACTGGTTCTCCGCTCACTTAATGGCATCCACATCAAGATCAAACCAGTGGAACCAGAAATGTGATGGAGAAAAAGAATCTGTTGGATTCAATCAAAGAGAATCCATTCACTTTCTAACTATTTAGAAAGTGAATTGTGTAGAAGATTGTTGGAGAAATTGTGATATTATTAATCAATTATTTGTTATTCTCATTGATCTTTATAATGTATCTTTAATTGATGCTTTCCTTAAAGTTAATCTCATTATAGAATTAAGAATGTTTCTTGTATTGTTGATTTACTCTGATTCTTTCTCAGAAGGCCTCACTGACAGAGAGCAGAAACAAAATCTTCCTGCAGGTTTACCTCTTGGTGAAGAGCTCTGCTTCGGTTGAGTTGCTGGCCTCCAATAAAACCATCATTGCTAAGATCACTACATATTTTATTAATCTTTGTGCCTGGAAGGAGATTATCTAGTGTAGAATGACTGTGTGTTAGTTAGTGAATAACATTTGACGCTGTAGCTGTTTGCCCCCTCCCTTTAGAGCTACAGCGTCCTTGTGATTAGGGATCCTAGAAACAATAAAATAGAGGAGCAGACAAAATGTGCTTCAGAGCGGTAGGAGATTGTAACTGAAGCACATCTCTGTCCGTTCTCCTCGCGAGTGAAAAAGAATCTAACTCTTTTGTCTTTTCTGTCTTTGTTAATGTATGTTTAACAGGTGTTAACCCTAACATTTTGGTCCTTCGAGCCGGAGGTCATATACTGGAAAGATTCTGGCAGGTGTGGCGGACCCCAGTAAGACCGTGCGCACGGCAAGAGAACCTGTTAAAGGACTGGGCTCGGCCTGCCTGCTGGGATCTGAAGGTTGACGACACTCCAGGGAAAGACAAGAGGGTGAGTGATTCTTTTTAAAAGTGGTGAATGACTGAGGGTCGTTGCGCGTACAGAGAAAACCCTGTCAATTCTAGACTCTAACAGGTAAAAATAATTGCACAAAATCCGTGTAGGGCAGCGGAGTCCTGGCGCAAAAGTTCCGCGATAAGGTGTACGGAGCCTGGTGCTGCAAGGTTGGAGACCTTGTCCTGTTGTGGGCAACGGGGCCCGACGAATACCCGTGTTTAAACGGACGGCGGAGTCCGGCGATAACAGGCGCTTAAATTCCGTGATAAAAAAAAAGAGTGTGTATGTGAGCGTGATTGGAGGTATAAATACCACTTGGTATTTTATCTCATATAAAACAGTAGGGTTGTAAGCAGCAAACCTCTTGTGGATGCACAGGCAAGAACTCTCCACTCGAAAGAGTTGAAGTGAGAGTTACCACAACAGGTTCTTTCAATTGCTGGCCTACTGAATCAGATCTCCAGTTTCTAGGACTCCCTAGGAGTCGGCAAAAACTGGTCCAAATTTAAATAAAAAAAAAAAAAGGGGAAATGAATAAGTAAAACTAAGCCAACAGACAGTCTAAAATCAAATAACTGGAAGGTTATTAAAGATCAGGATAAAATAAAACAAAAAACAAATTCAAATAAAAATTGTACGAGGAAGGGTATGATGATGTACAATTAGTAGCGCAAAAACGAGAAAGTGGGGAGAAAGAAATTACAAAAGAAAAGGAAAAGGTTCCAGGAGCCTTTTTCCAGGATGAGGAACAAGTGTTTTATGAGGACAGGAGAGGAAGAGAAGGCTTTAGGGGCAGAGGTCAGAACCTTAGAGGTTTAAAAGGGCGACGGGGGAGAGGAAACTACAGGCATAGTTACTCAGGGTGCTGGTGTTGCGGGCAGGAAGGACATTTAGCCAGAAATTGCCCAAGAAAAGAAAACAAAAAAACACAGGACAGTCAGCATGATTAAGATCAGAGAAGTTGGGGAGTGAAGAGGTCCAGTTAAATCTTCAGGATTTACTTTCTATGGACAGCATAAGACCTGAAATAACTCTCCTAATAAATGGCAAACCTGTAAATTTCCTCTGTGACACGGGTGCATGTAGAACAACACGTAGAGAAAACATTCTTGGGGTAAAATATTTGTGGTGAAAATGTCAAGATCAGCTACAGGAATAAAAGAAGGGGATTTCTTTGTTGTCCAGGGACAACAGGGAACTGTATTACTTTTATTCATTGGATGTGCCCAACAAACCCCACACAACACTGCACAAACACTTCTGGCAGAGGGGCATAAAGCCATTTCTGCCCTACAGGATCAAAAGTCTCCTGATGATTTGCATGTCACACTTTGGTTCAAAACAGTTCCTGGGCCTGATAGGAACTATGAAGCGAGACTCAACAAGGTCACCCCAGCCAAGATAACTGTGACCTATCTGTACACAGACACAAAACATGTGACTGATCCACACACATTGTTGAATTCTCTTAGATCAGATGCAAAAGTATTCACGGTTGTAGACATCAGTAAATGCCTTTTTCTCAATACCAATTGAGAAAGAGAGCCAATTTTGGTTTGCTTTTACTTTTGAAGGGAAAAGATACATATACACCAGACTACTTCAAGGCTACTGTGAAAGCCCTACAATTTTCTTTCAAGTAATGAGTGCAAGTATGTCAACGTTTCAACCCCCAGGAGGGAGCCAAGTTTTGTTGTACATAGTTGATGTTTTATTGGTTTCTCCAGACAGGGAAACCTGTAAGCAAAACACTTTAGCGCTTCTGCAACATTTAGCTAAAGAAGGTCATAAGGTTAACAAAATAAACTTTAACTGTGTAAACGACAAGTAAAATATTTGGGTCATAATTTGAGTGAAGGAGGACGAACCATAGCGGAGGATAGAAAAACGACAATTCTCCAAGCTCCCAAACCACAAACAAAAAAAACAAATGATGTCCTTTTTGGGTTGACTAACTATTGTCAAAACTGGGTGCCTAATTATGCAGAAATTGTGGCAGCTCTGAATAAATTAATGTAAAAAGATTTTAAAATGTCTTCTTCTTTGTTGTGGGCAGATGAAGCAGAAGAAGCACTTTGGAAACTAAAACAGGCCCTCGTGTCAAGCGCTGCGTTAGCGTTACCAGATTATCAATAAAAAAAACTTTTGTTCAGATGGTGGATTGTAAAGGTCATGTCATGACCTCGGTGCTAGTCTAACAGCATGGTGATAAAATGAGACTAATAGCATATTTTTCTTCAAAACTTGATAGTGTAGCATGTGCCTTACCACATTGTGTGAGAGCTGTAGTTGCTGCTTCTGTGGCAGTAGAAGTTAGAGCTCCTATAGTTCTTTTTCACCCATTAACATTAAAAGTAACACATGCAGAATTATTAAAAGAATTATTACAAGTCGTGCACCTACCAAAACAACTAGCAATCTGTAAATGTGCGGCGCACACTGCAGGGACAGATAAGGTGTCCCTAGGGAATGCTTTCGAAGACAAAATAAAAAAAAAAAATTAAAAAAAAAAGCAGCTGAGGGAGAGATAAATGTATTACATGTGGACGTAAAAATTAAATTTATGAAAGAAACTTTAAGAGACATGCAACAATTAAGTCCTCAAAATGAAAAGGATTTATGGATAAAAAAATGGAGCAAAATTGGAAAATTATATAAAACTAAACCTATTTTACCAAGAAAAAAATCTGTATAAATGGGCTGCAATATTGAGCCATGGCGTTTCGCATGTCTCAACAGGGGGGATGGTAGGATACATCAACATTACACTACTTATGGATTTATTTCTTATTTTAAAAAAAATTCTGTAGGACCTGTTTGATATGTGCAAAACATAACTCTCAGGGCAATCTAAGATCACTTAGAGGAAAGTTTCCTACTCTGCAATATCCATTTCAAGTAATGCACATGGACTTCATAGAATTGAATAAAAGTGAAGTATTGTTTAGAAATAATTGATGCTTTTCTAAATGGTTTGAACATTTCACTAAAAACCCAGATGCAGCGGAAAAGCCAACTTGGATACATTTAACACACTGCAAAAAGGAATTTAATTTCAAAAGTAATTGGGAAGCAAGCTCAAGACGCTCACCGACCTACAGGGCAAAGTCCAGGTTACAAAGGGGGTTAAACCAAATAGTTTTTCCGTCTCAAAACTGGTGAAGATTGTCCACAACCCTGTAGTGTCTTTAGGAGCAGAACGAACTTGCACATTAATGAAAATAACAAGTGAATATATCTTTTTGTTTTTATTTTGTTTTTCATCTGGGAACAATTCATGTCATAAATGAAAATGTATTCTTGTAACACTGTTTACAGAATGAGGATGAGTATTCAGGTATGTTTTCCACCTAGTTCTGTTATCATTGTTTTAGTCTCCTGGGCAAGTATGACGTCAGCAAAATACAGAGATTAAACTTGATATGTGACAAATGATGTTTTAACACTGGACTGTTCTCTCTGTGAACAATGAATTTAACCCTGTCTTTCGTGCGGATGTCTGGTGGTGGTGCAGTGGTGACAAAATTTTTAATAGATTACCTAGGAAGGTAACAGGGATGTGTGCATTAATTTCTTTATTATTGCCTGTTTCTGTTTATCCTATGACTGCTGATCATTTAATTCATGCTTTAACTGATGTTGTGCCTCAGCAGTGACGTCAGTTGCAGAAGCGAGACCTGACCTGGAGGAACAATGATCCTACATACATCGATGCCATTGGTGTTCCCCGTGGTGTACCAGATGAGTATAAATTGGCCGACCAAATTGCAGCAGGATTTGAGTCCACAATTTGTTGGTGGTGCACATTAAACAAAAACGTTGACAGAATCAACTACATCCATTACAATGTACAAAAACTGGGCAACTGGACACAGGCAGGCTTCGAGGCGGTGCATGAGCAGCTGGCCGCTACATCACTGATGGCTTTCCAGAACCGTTTTGCACTTGACATGGTGCTGGCTGAACGAGGGGGAGTGTGTGCAATCTTTGGTGAAAGATGCTGCACTTTTTACCCAACAATATAGCGGCTGATGGCAGCCTGACGAAGGCCATTGAGGGGCTCCGTACCCTTAATGGTAAGATGAGGGAGTTCACTGGAGTGAATACTTCCAGGTGGGATGACTGGATGAATGTTTTTGGAAAGAACCGAACCCTTGTGTCCTCTGTTTTAGTGTTGATGGCTGTCTTTGCTGCCATTCTAACCTTGTGTGGATGCTGTTGTATTCCTTGCCTGCGTTCTTTGTTTAATAGTCTCATCACTACAGCAATTTAGCCCATGGGGAACCAGATGATGCCGATGTATCCCTTATTGGCGAGAGAACCTGAGTCTGACAGAGAAAGCTCTGATGAGGACTCTTTTGATGTGTTTCCTGATTCTAAGTTTTGGACTGAGTATAAACCTTGAGTGTAAACATGTTTGCTTTCTTAAAAATGAACTCCTAGTTGAAAATTGTTCGAAGTGGCTGTTTAGGAGAGATATGAGAATTAGAACAAATATTTGATAAACAGGGGGGAAATGTTGGAGAAATTGTGATATTATTAATCAATTATTTGTTATTCTCATTGATCTTTATAATGTATCTTTAATTGATGCTTTCCTTAAAGTTAATCTCATTATAGAATTAAGAATGTTTCTTGTATTGTTGATTTACTCTGATTCTTTTCTCAGAAGGCCTCACTGACAGAGAGCAGAAACAAAATCTTCCTGCAGGTTTACCTCTTGGTGAAGAGCTCTGCTTCGGTTGAGTTGCTGGCCTCCAATAAAACCATCATTGCTAAGATCACTACATATTTTATTAATCTTTGTGCCTGGAAGGAGATTATCTAGTGTAGAATGACTGTGTGTTAGTTAGTGAATAACATTTGACGCTGTAGCTGTTTGCCCCCTCCCTTTAGAGCTACAGCGTCCTTGTGATTAGGGATCCTAGAAACAATAAAATAGAGGAGCAGACAAAATGTGCTTCAGAGCGGTAGGAGATTGTAACTGAAGCACATCTCTGTCCGTTCTCCTCGCGAGTGAAAAAGAATCTAACTCTTTTGTCTTTTCTGTCTTTGTTAATGTATGTTTAACAGGTGTTAACCCTAACAAAGATCAAAAAGAGTTACTTTGTATGTCTTTACTTTCTAACTACTTAGAAAGTGAATTAGATAAAAAAAAAAAACAAACATAAATTTCAATAAGTTTTTACACTAATGTCTCATGATGAGGAAATTTGTTATGTTTTAAACCATTTGTTTTTGGAATATTTGTACCGTTTATCTGAAATGGGTTTGTTATATATTTGGAGACAAGCTTAATCTTGAAGCAAAACTATAAGCATTGCATTATAATAAAGCACTTTGTTGTAATACTGAAGAATGTGACTAAAATAGTGAGATTGAATATTTTTTACATTAACTAACAATTCATTTCTGCAGCTAGGAATATGTTATATTTCTATTGTTGGGGTAAATTAAAACAGAAAAAGAAAATAAGTTCACCCATTTATTTGTAATGGAAACTTCATGATGTAAGACTGATGGTTAAAATATGAAACATTTAAGGAAAGAAAAGAGTATAATGTTTTTAAACTATAAGCACTAAGTGTACCTTAGTGCAGGCTGGTTAAATAATGTAAAAAAAAAGAATTACTTTGTATGTGACCTAATCTCAAAGTGATTTTTTTGTTACATTTTTCCATTTAAATTAGGTCAATAGTGAATGTTTTAACTCCATGAGAGTCTAAAAAATAAAACGCTGTCTGAATTTGAATTAACTAGAAATAACCTCAAGATATGCTACTACAAAAGAATTACAACACTGAAAAGCACAACTCTAAAAATGAGGCTTTTTTTTTAAATCACACCCTTGAACTGGGTATTACAAGATGCAACTCAAGATTGCATGCTGAAACATATAGCCCCAACATTTTGACAAGGGTGTGTATACTTTTGAGATGTCCTGTCTTTTTGCATTCAGCTTCTTTTCCGATAGAATGAAAAGGACACCATGACAGTTGTGCAGGCTCCAAACTCAAAATGAATGAATGGTTGAGATGTAAAAAAGAAATCTAAGTTTGTGTTGATTGTACCGGAATAAGAGAGCAAATGATAAAATATACAAGTTTTGGTGTTACTGTGTACCACTGGTCTCCATAGAATCTACGTTCACAATTACTAGACCTTATTTTCTAAATAAGGTCCTGCACTAAATATCTCGTTTAGGGAAGCATCAAACCAAACAGAAAGCTTTTTTCCACAGGAAGTTCCTCAGAAAAGTATTTTCACACCTACAACCCCACATTTTGACACTTTATAACCACATACCTATTTGTATTTTATAAGGAGTTTAGTTCCCAAACCAACACCAGTTTCAGATAGTGACAGTCCTGGTGTGACCTGCCAGTGGACCTGCCACTGTAGCAGACTGCCACAATTTGAGCAAGTTCTCTTATCTACAGAGTAGCTGATAATTGTGCAGTCATACCAGAAGGGTGCATGGCTTTCAAAAAGGTTTAAAAACAAAAATTTAAAAGATTGGCACACATTTAAATAAATCTTTACTGAGTCATTATTCTACAGCCTAAACGTTTCAATTTAATTGCTATTAATCTTATGGATTCTCTGTCAGTTTTGCACAGAATGAAGTTTTTGGCTAAGTGCTCAGTCTCAGTCATATTGAATGGAGAGCATCTGTGTCAATCAAATTTCAAAGGTGCTCATGGATTTGCAACTGGACTTTGACTGGACAAACACAAAACTTTATTTATTTTGAAGAAATTATTGCTTAAAGGTTTTGATACTTTTGCAAAGTATGATATAAATGGAAAACATTGCAAGTTGCCGATGCATAAAATGTTTACAGAAGAAACAGACAAGCTAATGTGTCAAAAAAGTATTGTTTTTATTTACATATTACAAAATCCACAAAACCAAAGAGTCACTGGTGGAGTTATTTTTTTTAAATAAAACAACTTACTTTTCTTTTGCACCACTAGAGGTCTTTTTTGTAATTTAGAGGGAATCTCCAACTTGATATGAAATTCAACAATTATAAATCAACCAGATGTTGTCAAAGCTGCCAGTTTATTAAAAAAAAAATACTAAAAATACTAGAAACCATAACTAGTTTTTGTGATGCAATTTTTATCTGAGGCATTTGTGTCTGAATCATTTTATTACATAGATTCATACGTTTCTTCAAATTTGAACACTCAATAAAACCATGTTAAAAATTAAGCCTCAAGAAAAGGCCGAGCCTAATGTTTAGTTTTCTAATCTGCAGACATATTTTGAGCTGGTTAAGAAAGGCGGCATTTTACAGATAATTCTAAGTATGCATTACAACAGTCTGAATAACATTTTAATAGTCTTTTATGTTGTAGCTGTTATTGTGCTTTTCTCCAATCTGCAATGCTTGTACGCTTTAAATAGCAATCCAAAAAGCGTAAAAACTACTTTTTACAGTATGTTTGCTCTGAGAATATGAGAAAGTACTTAACTCTTATTGTAACAGAAAAAACAGGATGTTAGTATAACAGAGCACTGCTTTAAGATGCAAATGAAAAACGAAGTTTTCAGCTTCTAATAGAAACCGTCCGTTTGCTGAAGTCACCACCAAGTGGCGTAAAGGAGGAAATACAACACAGCACAACTGACAGCTTCTCGTTCTATCGAGTTGCTTTAAAAATAAAATACAGTTGTGTTTTGACGAAACTTTGCTTACATTTGAAGTCTTGGGGCTATCTTGACTTCTCACAGTAAGATACGAATAAAACCACTTTTTTGCAACTCTTTTAATAGTTTTATCAATATTCTGAAAGTGAAAAAATGTCGGAACATGTATAAAATACAAGTTTACATCAACTCAAAGTCATTCAGCACATAACTCCATCATAATATCTGTATTGTCTATCACTCTGTAGTTCATTTAACTGCCAGGTATTTTGTTGTAAAAAAAAAAAAAAAAAAAAAAAAAACTAAATACTTTTGCTGTCGATGTAGTTTGTGGAGGATGTGTTGTGTATTTTGCACTCGTATAATATAACAAATAAAAACAGAGGCGAAGAGTTCCACCTCTGACAGGTCACAGTCCCTGATGGTCCTGCTGGGAACCTGAGAGTCAGCAGTGTTATAAAACTGGTTAGATGAGAAGTGAAGGGGTGGGTTTCTTCCCCGGCCAAGCTTCTTTGGCATACTTCTTTTTTCGTGGCTCATTGACGGTCTCTGGTAGGTAGGGGGCTGTCACTGGTGTGGGGTTGAGTGTGATCGGGGGCTGAGGAGCCTCTGGAGCCAGATCTACGTCAGGCGCTGGGTTGGGGAAGGGCAGAGGCAGCCCGCCCTGCATAGCAGCACCTCCTGGCGCTCCTGTTGGCTTGTTCTCGTGGCTGGTTGGAGGCAAGTCCCCGTATAGACCTCCACCCAAGCTGTAGCCGTGAATGCGCTTGGAAGCCAAGTCATCCAGACCCAGAGTATTTTGGCTGTCAGCTCTCCGCTTCTGCAAGAGGAATGAAATAACAAAAACTTCACAAGCCACTGAGAAGACTAGCAGTGTATTAACCAAACTAAGTCGCTTTGTAGCAAAATCTTTTAGCTGAGAGAATTATTTTAAATACAGCCAAGAATTACCTTCATGGGGATGACAGCTGTTTGCACCATATTTCTAAAGCGCCCGACTGAGGGGTCTATATCTTCTGCAGGAATGGAAAAAAAAAACAAGAAAAAAAACGTTATTACACTTCAGTGCAGAGACAAAAATATTTATTTGAGTATTAATGAGCAGGCTGACATTGATTAAATAGAAATAAAAAGTTGATTTAGTTATACTGACTCAAAATCCATCTCTCTGATGTCTGCTAAAATTAGCTCAGATATAAGAAATATTTTATTTTCCAAGTTTAAATTTAGGGGACAAAGATTCTTCAAATAAAGTTAATTAAAATTATTATATTATATGATTTTCAGTCTCATGTGATCACACTATGACAGACTACACAGAACCAAGAGAAATTTTGATTAAAGTATCTTTAACAAAGTAGTTCAATGAATTATTTTCATGTTGAGTGAAGAAAAACAACAAACTATAACTATTCTCACAAACATCAGTCCCAAAATAATAAATTTACCTGGATTAATAATGGAGTCTTCTTCACTGAAAGTAACTCTGGAGTTCTTGCGTTTCCTCTTTGGCCTCTGGATTTCCAGGTTGCCTTCCTCGATTGTCAGGATGGAGATGCGTTTGTTGTGAGCCGTGTTAAACTCTGTCAAGTTCTAGAAATAAAAAAAAATACTAAGTAATTACTATGTCAAGACCAATTTTTTAGATTATATTCCACTGGACTGGATATTACCACAAAATATGAATAACCTCAAAGTGACATACTTAGGAAATGGAAAGATTTACAAAAAAACTATTATAGATAAAACCTACAATAATAATAATGTTTTATAACATGGTAATAACGTACCTCCAGCTCTGTTTCTTCCTCTGGAAGTCCAAGCAGTCCTTTAAGCTCCTCTTCATCCCCAAGTTTGCTGTCTCCTGTGCCAGCGGTGCCTTGGGTTTGGGGTTTCTCTCTAATGGTGTAAGTTCGTGTCGACGCCCCAAAAGATATGGTAGAGTCTATGGGAACCTGCTGAGGTTTGTGTGGCTCAAGGCGAATGTGGCCAAGAAAAGTACCGTGTGCTGAAATAAAAATGTCTAACGTTAGGAAACCTTGAAAGCTGATAAAAAATATTTTAATGACACTATATTACACAGAAACATGTGTTGAAGTTTATATTGATGTCTCATAAAGCGGTGTTCCAACTTCAGTCCATTTACAAGTCTAAAACAATGTTAACCAAGAGATGCACTGGTGCACTAGCTGCAAAAAAGCTAAAATAACCAGATCTTTTTCTGATCAGTGAATGCACCACGCTGGCATAATGCCCTTTTAAAATGGTTCCTAAACTCTTGGTTGCATCAACTAAGTACTGGACAAAGGCTGTGAATCCCTTTGTACATGTGATATCTTTCTTTTTTTTTGTTTTACGTATTTACTAAAATCTCAAAGCTTTGTATCACAATGTTATTTTTGAGAATTGTGTGGAGAGATTAGAGGAACATTTTTTTATTCATTTTCAGTTAATAATGTGAATAAAGTGAAACATGGTAAATACTCTTCAAATGTACTGTACATATCCTACAGAGATTAGACCAGGGGTGGGCACTCCTGGTCCTCGAGGGCCAGGTGTCCTGCAACTCTTGGTTGTCTCCCTGATCCAACACAACTGAATCCAATAGCTGAATCACCTCCTAAATGCAATCAAGTTCTCCAGAGACCTGCTAATGACCTCATTATTTGACTCAGGTGTGTTGAAGTAGAGATACATCTAAAAGTTGCAGGAGACCGGCCCTCGAGGACCTGGAGTGCCCACCCCTGGATTAGACACTTATCTTAGAAAAGAAAACCACACTAATCACTAATATAGCAAAAAAACTAAAAACATGAGGAATATATTTTTTTTTTCCTGTATGTATATATAATTGTAAAATAGAGGTCAATTGCTGAATTACATATGACACTCAGATGTTACCTACACACAGTGTTTGACTCCTGTGTGTCTAGTCCTGATAAATATTTAATTATTCTTCACAACAGAGAGGCTATAGTTACAATGAACGCATGAATGATTTAATGATCCAATATACCACTCTAAATCAGAGGGGTGTCTTTGTCTCAAATGTAAGATGGACACAATTGTTATACATTTTAAATAAGTATTTCAATATTTCATAATATAGAGCATGCTACATTAGCAGTTGTCTATAATATCTAAAAATATAAAAGAGATATGCTGTAATTTTTCTTAATTACAGCATATCTGTATTTATCCAAAATATTGGGTTGTTTTTAGAAAATCCGTTTTTTTTTTATGTATTACTTTTTATTTCAGTGTTAGGAAAGTTACATTTTGAATTCACCCAGACATTAGACATAGTTATTTCTAAGTTCTTGAGAAATTTGAGTCCATTAAAATGAGCACCAGCAAATAAGCACATTTCTAAGAAAACCATGAAGATTATAAAAGGCACAATGTGTAGGCCACAAAATGTTATTATTTTAAAACAAATTTAAATACATTGAAGTCTTTCAATACAATATGAAACCAGCAAAATTTTCCACTAAGAACCACAAAAATACAATGAAAAAGTAAGATTGCTAAAACAGTTCTATTAATACATCATATTTCTTGCTCACATTGACTTTGGAGCAATTGTGGTCTTTCTGCACAATTAATACCCACATATTTACCAGTCCGAATGAAATTTGGTGGAAAAAAAAGTGTGATTGTAAAAGATCTCTTACTGCTGTTTAGGTCTATGAGGAAGACCCTTTTTAGATGTTTGTGGTAGACTAATGCCGCATGAACCCGAGAGCAGGACTGATGGTCGATGGTGAAGTCGCACCAGTCGGGATTCCTTCCAAACAGGTAAAACTTCTTTTCATCTATGATCAGTTTCTATAGAGAGAAACAGTCTTTGAGAATAACACACTGAAAGCAAATCTAAATGAGGTCATCTTGAGGCATCTGTGCCTCTGAGTTATAACTCTTCAGTGTTGCTTCCACTGAAGGGCTTAAATCTCATGGCTGATGTTGCTCTCGCACCGTTTGAAGCCGAGCAGCCACAGAGGAACCCCACATATGGGACACAGCAGACTGTCAGACTCGTATCTGGTGCACATTTCTAACATTAAAACGACCACTGCATTGTTAACCTACATCTGTAGAGCTTCACTTACCTCTATCAATTTGTCCCCTTTCATCACGTCCAGATGAAGCCCTGTGGGTGGTTTGCCTGCCCTGCAAGCAAAAGGTTTGAAACTCCTGTAATGATTTACTTAGTATGAACACTGCAGAAATCATATTTACCAAATCAAAGAAAAAAAAATTAATCAAGAAAAATAATCAAAATTGTATCTACAATATTTTTAATTTGGGAAACAGGATTCGGCAAATGAAAAAGACACGATGCATTGATCTTTCTGGCTAATTCATTGCCAACATTGACGGGTTAGCCTGCTAGCTTTATTTAATGCTAATGTTAGCGAAAGGTGTGATTTCATCTATATTAAACTTTAAAGTTCGTTGTTTTGTTGGTTTGCAACTAGTAATGATCTACAAACTTCGTGCTGCTACTTTGGCGTGTGCATTTGGCTCACCATGATGGACAATCAAAAGGAGGAGAACCGTCTTTGCTTGTTTTATTCGCCATCTTGCTTCAGCACATTAAAGCCGAGGTGCATCTTGGGAGAGCAGTGGTCTCTGTTTTTGGGAGTTGTAGTTCTATCAACTCCCGGTTTTATCAACTTTAGAATATATTCATTTTTTATTATACACAGTGAGAAAATGCAGGTGTTACAACAGAAACATAGCATAAATATTCGCACAATACAAAAATATATACAAATAATGAGACTGTAAAGGCAGGATACATTTGAAAAATAATGCAATGCAATTATTAAAAATAGATAACTCTGTTGAATTAACATACTCGGAAATGTGCAGCTTAGTTCCTTAATTGCCACTTTTTGATTTATCCAAGTGTAATAAAGTCAAATCATGTCAAGTTTATGGATTATAGCACATTTCAGCAACGACGCTATTCAAAGTGCTTTAGCTACATAATAAAAATATCTCAATGCAGATTAGTGCAGCATAATTAAACCATGTAATTTCATGGTTAGAACATACCAAATAACGTAATTAAAGATTATTGCATATCAACAGATGCATGCAATCTGTTGATATTTGTATTCTTTAAGAAAAACAAGTAAAACATCTACAAATGTGAAAAACAGTAGAAGCAGGGTAATTGATTTACCCTGCTTCTAGTAGGAAAAAAATATATAAATATTTCACATAATACTTCACAGACTTTAAATATGTTTTTTCCTAGAAAACTACTCAAAAAAGTATAATTGATAAGGAAACGGAAAATGAAAGTTCTGCATCTCTGGTTCCATGCTTTGTAGAACCACCTTTTACTGCAATTATAGGTATATATCTCCTATATTTTACTGATGATCTGATGCATGCACCACTTCCCACTCTAATCTTGTTTTGTTGCTGGGAACACTTTTCACATGAGACAAAAGTAAAACAGAAATACTTTCCTACTAAACAAATTAAGGAAAGGGAATAAGTGTCACAGAAAATCAAAGCATTGAATACCTCTTTTCTTGATTGAACTCAGTACTAGGTCACAACTTGACCTCTTTTTTCTTTTCATAAAATAGTACTGAGCTGAACTACAATCAAAGTTACCCATGAGAAAAAAAAGTTCATATTCTAAAAGAAGCACTAGAGGTCTCTAACTCCTCATTCCAAACTTCTCAGCATGAAAGTGGCACTGTAAAAAAGATGTTGTAACATTGGTTTGAAAACCTGAACAGCGCAAGTTTCTCAGAATATTATATTTGCTGCAAGGACGTAGCGCCTTTTGTTTGATGGTGTAGGGGGAGGGGGATCAAACCAGCAGATCAGGCTGTTGTTTGAGGTTTTTTCTGCCTCATTTCAAAACTGTGGCTTTTCGCTCTACGGCTTTCAGAGAGAGAGGAGAATGCTTTCCGCATTGTAGTGTCTCATTGCAGCATAGGGAAGTGAGGCTGCTAACTTTTCCTTGTATGTGTCAGTCCACCTTAAATTTTCCAGCATAAGGGTGCGTCATATGGCTAAATTATTTTTGAAAAATGCTGATGCTTTTCCAAAAAGCTGATGATTGATTTAAATTGATGATTAATTTTTCTTTGGTCCATGTTTTAAGTTATGAGCTCTGTTTTTAACATTTTCTTTTCAGTACTTTCCATCAGGCTGAGCAAGATTTACTGTAATGTTTTGGCTTATGGGTAGTTATTCAAGCAGACATAATATAATGTAAAAGCCTTGTGTTTTGACAAAATAACAAATTCAGCGACTGTATATTTTGTCAGTTACAGAAATAGATTTTATTCTTTCAACTGAAGCATATTTCCTTTGAAAATGTCCCTCTTTTTCTTGTTTCAGTATGTTAGTACTCAAACTAATGGAGCCCTACAAGAGAAAAGAATGAATGAGTGAATTATGAATTAAAAGCAAGATGTTGAAAGCCAGTTTTTCCACATCTTTACAACAAAACAGTGCCCAAGTAATAACACATAGACTCCTTCGGTAAATGAAAAAAAAAAAAAACATGTGCAAAACTCAGCTCCTGTAACTTCCTCATTCACTTCTGTGGTTTTGAGCTGTGAGTGCAACTCCTCTTTTTGCTGCACTCGTCATTTACCGCCTGCCTTCATTTCTTATTTGCAGCTCAGTGAGCAGCAATGGCAAGCAACATTGCTTTGCCACTTCAAGAATTCATCGCCTCACTGGAAAACAACAGTTTGCCAAAAATTTTGCAAGTTTGTTCTGGAGTGTATTTTCAGGGTGAGCAATTCCTTTTTTTATTGATGGGAAATTCAAGTCTGACGTTTGAGTACAAGAATTAAACAATCAGAAATTATCACATGAGATCAGATTGGATTTGATTGTGACTGGTTGTCTAAATAAGTGTAAATCTTTCGCAAAAATGTATGTGAGTATGTTTTCCTCAGTTACTTTTAGATCATTGGTTACTGTTGCCAAATACGACAGTCAAGAATTTGTTGCGGTTTTAAATTGATGTCCAAGAGTCTCAAGGGGAAAAAAAATGAGTCAAAAACATTTAGAAAATACAGAATTTTTTCCTGACTAAACCTATAATTTGTCCTTTTCTTGTCTTATTTTTGACATCAGGTTCAATATATGAAATTTCTGGAAGTGAAGTATGCTTTTCTACTGGGGATCTCGTAAAGGTCATTGGTATTGAACTGCAATCTGTTTGCTGTGAAGATGTCACGAACAATGAGAAGTTTGAGTTGCCAATCACTCACACAGGTTGGCTGTAAATACATAATTTGAATAAAATCTATACTTCTTTTAATCTATTTGCTGTTCACTAACATACTTTAGTTTTTTTCTAGGATTGTTCAAAGTGGTCCCTGAGCAGATGCCGTACACATCAGTCGAGGAGATGTTGAGCCTGAGGCCTGTGGGCCTGGATGATTCCCTTCCTTTTACCTTCACAAGCCACTCCAAGATGACCTTTGGCAGTCTGACGTTGGGGGCCGGCAAAGCCCTGACCGTGCTCTCTATCGAGAAGCGCGAAGGTGAAGAGGATATGGTGCGTTGCCATGTAAAAGGCCAAACGGAGGCCTCAGCCAAGGTGTGCATTCCTCTGTCTTCTCGAGGGGAATTTTTTGAATGCGAGAGTGAGGAATGCTACACGCTGATGGAGATCATGACTTCGCCTTTCCTGCGCAGTCGAAGATTTCGCTTCGTTAAGACCACAAAGTGTGAGCGGGTCCTTGTCCTGAGTCCAGTCTATCAGGTCCAGGCCATCATGAACAGTAAGTATAACCTTCTCTGTACTGAATGTTTGATTAAAATTACATACGTTTCAGTGTTTTGAGAATAATTAATGTTTTCATTTATTTTCTGTGTTGTTTTATGTAGTTAAACACAAAGAAAAAGGGTGTTTCAAAATCGACACACTTTGCTTTTTCATAAAATTTTATATTTTTGTTTGACTTGAATGGATTTACCTTTTTACATATTTGTGGTTAGATTTGTCTGGAGAGAAAAGGAAAGAGAAAAATAACTGCAGCATTGCAGAGCTTTGAATACAATGTGGTGTGGAAAGGCGCTTTTCTGCATTACATACATAAAAATGTATAGAGATGTCCAGAAGAGAGTGCAGGGGAGTTTTTGACCAGCTTGTTTATCAGAATCCTGAAGAGTGAGAAGATGCTAGATGATAAGAGGAGGAGTGTGTTGGTACAGATGTTCAAGAAAAAGGGGAATGGTTTCATGTACAGAAAATACCCCACAGGTACAGTTTTTACTCTGTGTCTTTGTGAACCTATAGAGAAAGCATGATAGGGTACCCAGAAGGGAACTATGATATGGTATCAAGAAGTCAGGGTGACAGAAAAATGTGTAGGATAATACAGGACATGTATGAAGAGAGTGAGACAGTGGTGAGGCATGCATTGGAGTCACTGATGGGTTCAAGGTCGGTGTGAGGTTGCATCATGGTTCAGCTCTCCTCCTGTTTGCAGTGGTGATGAATAAGATGATAGATAAGGTCCGACAGGAAGCTCTGTGGACCGTAATGTTTGCAGGTGACATTATGATACCGGTAAAAGTAGAGAGCAAATGAAGATGAACTAGAGAAATGTAGGTTTGCTAAGAGAGAAGAGGAAGAAAAGTCAATAAGATCAAGGCAATAATATTTGTGTGTGAATAAGGGCTTGCAAGGTGAAGCTGGAAGGAGCAGAAGTAGTGAAAGCAGATGAGTTCACAAATCTGGAGTAAATCATCAAAAACAGCTGACCGTACGAAACAGTGGTGAAAAAGAAATTGCTGACAGGGTGGATTGGGTGGAGGCGAGTGTCAGGAAAGGAGTAACGTACATGACAATGGGGTAGCCTGAAGATGGGAAAGGAAATACTACAACACAGGAGTGTAACCTGCTGCAATATGTGGTTTGTAGACAGAAGCACGGTTTAAATTTCAGGACACTGAGCTGGAGGTGACAGAGTTGAAAATGTTCTCAACTCTCCATTGTAATCATTCTACAATTTTCTACCCTCCTCGGTACAGCTGAAACCAGATATTTATATTGTATGTTTAGGCATCTGGCAATTGTACCAATTTATGAACCAGGCATCTGAATTCTCTTGATATATTGATTGACTTTTTTTTCCCATAATATCATTCAAGGAAGTTATGTGTCTTCCAATTAACTCAGAAGTTCTGAATGAGAGCCTTCCAAAACCTTTGAGCTGGTGACATTAACACTGGCTTGTGCAAAAAAGTCTGAAAACAGTGATGAAAGTGTTCAAAAATAATTGTATCTGACATTATTCTGACATTCAGCAAATAGAAATAATGCTGGTCATCCTAATTGACTAAAAGCATGAAAGGTTTAGTCTGATTTAATGAAAAATAAAGAGGGAAAAAAGAATATACTTTTGTATTTTATATACATTTAGTTGCAACTGTTTATTTTGCTTTTGATATATTTCATTCCTTAAGCCGTTAAGGGCAGTAAATGGAAATATTTATTGAACAGTGCTGCCATTTTTGCAGCACAAAAATGTTCAGTTTAAATTCTGAAAAAGAAAAGAGGTGTTTTCTGATTCACTTCATGAATTGTCTGCCTCTTCATTGTGTTTTCTCTCATTTGCACAGTGAGGAAGAATGTACTCAGATTTCCGTCCAGCCTGGAGGTGGATGTGGTTGATGTCACTGACACATGTAAAGATGCAAACTTTGTGACACCTCTCAACCTGACAGAAGTCCTGTCTCAGCCAGACGAATCATTTCCTGTGGTGGCAGAGATATTAGAGGAACCGGAGAGCCGCTCTTTTTTCAAGTGTGCATGGCTGCCAGGGCTGGTCAAGAGCACCAACCTGATTTTGCACAAGAAAGGAACTACGCCCATGGTCCTGATGTCTAGCTTGAAGGGCCGGAAGACTCAGCAGTACTTCCTTGTGTCCCAGCAGTACAGTGGACGGTTTCGCAGAAGGCCAAGAGAGTTCAACTCAGTGTACGAGGTGTATGTTGCTTCAACGCAGACACAAAGCCTCACGGTGAGCGTGACAAGGAACTGTGAGGAAGTCGAGGAGGAGGGTCTGCCAAGCCTCAGCGTTGGGGAGAGACTACAGATTGTGAACTGTACTAGAATGGAGTTGCCTTGTGTAAACAATCAAGGTGAGAAGCAGTCTGTCGAGGCTCTTTTGTGTCATCGTCTCCAAGAGCCGGACGATGAGGGGGAAGATGAAGAAGACGAGGAAGAAGAAAAGGATCAACGGGAAGAGGCAAAAGAGGAGGTCTTACTGCCTCTCTACATGCAGGGTCACTTTGTGGAGGTTCTTGGTGAAAACAAAAAATATAAACTCTGTGATTTGGGTAAGGAGTTTAGTTTGCCACTGGATGTCAAAGTGGTGAGTCGAGATACTGAACTAGAGACTGATCCATTAGTTGGGTTTTCTTGTCTGAGAATAGAGGGAGCAATGCTGGAGCCAAGCATTCAGGCAAGCTTTCCAGACAAGCCTGACCGCTGTTTCCATCTCCTCCCCCAGTGGCTCTCTTTGTCCGTCTCTTTTACCAAGGATGCTCTTCCTTGGCCTCAGGACCAATTCCCCAAGTGTTTCACAGAAAAGGTTAGTGAGATGACAGACACGTTCTTTTATGAATTTCGCAAAAAGGGTAACTCAGATGAGGCTCCTCCACCTCGACCGCCAAAACGAGATATGTCATCATCAAACTTAGTCAAAAATAAATCTAAGTCCACAAAGAAATCCTCCAAGCCAAAGAAAAACAAAGACAAAAGCGTACCGACGGAGAAGCTCAACGACTTGACGTTGAATCACAAAAAACGTCCCCCTGCTCCACTGCCTCCAGTGAGTACACCCCATTTTTCACATTTCTCTTTAAAGCACAGTGCAACATTTGTCTTTAGAAGCTTCAACTTTTTTTTCTTCTTTTTTTGTTGTGGTCACAGTCATTTTCTGTAATAACCAAAAGACTTCTGACTTCCTCCTCTAATGCAGGATGGTGTAAATGATGAACCTCCTCCGCTCGTACCGAGGAAGTGCTCATCTGCGGATATCACAAGCAAAGCCCAGCCAAACACTTATGTTAAGATAAACCAAGCAATAAAAAGGGGTAAGAATTTTCTTCGTATATTTCAGATATTGTCAAGTTAAAATTTAAACATATTTTCTCTAAATTTAACTGTGAAGTCATAGAGAATTTAAATTTTTTGGTTTCATAAAAGAGTGCAAACCACATATCTCCATATTTCTCAGAAGTGAGAAAAATTTGCCTGAAGCTCTCTTCGGGAGACCTGTGAAAATTTTTGACAGCTCTTGGCCATCTGCAAACATTTTCCTTTTGTCATGCAATTATCTGGTCAAAGTTGTATACTTGAATGTTTTGAATTAAATCTGAATTTTAAAATGTCAGTTATCATGTCAAAACTATCAGTTCCACCTAAAAAGTAACCTTTGGTGATGATTTCACAGCATCTTTTCCATGTAAAACCATAAAATACAATATTTTGTTTTGTTTTGCTTTGGGGGGTTTTCTGTTTGCTTGTTTCAGTCCAGTTTGGACTCTTCACACCAAATCACACACACACTTGCAAGGCTATGGGACATTTTAACTTTTCTTTCAACCATAATCCTTTATCAACCAGTACTTGCCAGAAGATGCTGCAGCTTTGTATGTGTTGCTCTTTTCCACTTAAAGAGTTTCCGTCTCTTCTTTTGGAGAGATGTACAGTTTTTGTATCTGTGACTGCCTTCTCTTTGAACATATAATGTAGTGGATATTAAACTAACCTTCTCCTAACTTTGTTCAATAAGATAGTTTGCAGATAAATTCAAAAGTATTTTATGGGATACATATTTTCAAAAAACCCAACAGGGAATAAATTTTAAATGTCAGCAGATGTAAACTCAAGAGGACTGAATGCTAAAAGTATATAAACTGTGCAACTGGGTTACTGTAGCGTTTTATTTTTTATACTTTTTATACTTCAATATATACATTAAAGATGGGAATTATTTTGTAATGATTAATTAATATCTAATGTTTTGATTTCATAAAAAAATGGAACACTGGACCCTTGAACAGGGTCAAGAACTCTTGAACTTGTCAGGAGTTCAGAAAAACATTCGGCTTGATTATTCAAAGCTCTTCAGCTAAATAGGATGCATTTAGTCTTCTTTGAGCACATGTTGTTGAAAAAGCAATAAAATGGTTGGAGATGAAAAGGGATACAGTGATTTATTCTCTCTGATTAAAATATCTATTTTTTAATTTCCCAGACCTTCTGCGTGATGTGGCTGCCGACGTGGACAGTGACCATGACTATGAAACCGTGGATGAGACTTTGGTGGCTGTGGTTAAGAATGCTCAAGAAAACGTGATGTTCTATTAAAATTAAAGTCCTATCTTGCAAACATTACTCTGAACTGGATCTGAGGTATCCAGGGAGTGCTGAGGTTAGAAGTGACTAAATTAGAAGAGTAGAGGCCTCTGCATTGTTCGTGACCTTTCAAACGATGTGATTATATCCTTCAGTCTTTTATTATTAGCACATAGTAAAAGTGTACTATTACAGTGATGATCACTGTTGAGAACGTACCTGGGTTATAATTGCTTTTCTCATATGGTCACCAAGATTCCTTCCTGAATTTCCTCTTTGTTACACCAATGAAAAACTTTATACCAGTATGATCCTATTTCACAGCAGACTCGTTTGGAGTGAGGCTCAAGCATTTCCTCTAACCACCGATAGCTGAAAAGAGTTACTCTGCTTATCTCGTCATCATTTACATTTGTTACAGGGTGACCTTGCTGCCAAATTTGGCAGCAAGGCACATTTTGAATGTCACACCGATGTGCTATCAGCAGTAGTGAGTGTAAAGATCCAAGAAAGTTTAAGAGTGCTACATTTTGGCTGTTTGCATAACTCCAAAAATGCAGCTTTTATTGATTATCTCCAGACTTTGGAGGTAATTATTTATCAAAAGTGGGTCAGTGAGGAATAGACACCATGTTTTATTGCTTTATGGGAAGATTAGGCACAGACCAGTGGTTTGAGTCAACAGACAAGCTACTATAATTTAAGCTGCTGCAGACGTCACTGCTGGTTCTGACAGCATATGTGTCACTCACAAGGAAGCTACTATGAGACTGTCAGTAAAAATGACCTAAGCATTGTTATAAATAATACTTGCCTGATTGCTTTGGTGTCTTTAAGCGAATAGTATACCCAGCAATACAGTGAGGAATGCTCTTCAAACCATGTGGGGAGCACAGCAAGTTTTAGAAAATGTGGGATTTGCGAGGAAATCAAGTCCAGATAAAGGATACCTTCAGAAGTCCAGGGGTATCTGGTAGAGGATCATAATGTGTATTTATCACTCAATAGCTAGTCAGACAAATCACCATCTAAATTAGGAACATGTCAAAGCAAAGAAAATTTCCCTCACTGTTTTTGATGGGACAAAACATCAAATTCTTCAAAATCTTGCAGGGTTTTGTGGTGTCATGCCAAATTTCTGAGTATGTTCTTTGAAATTATTGGCCATTTCTGCTTTGCCACTCTGATGGCTAACATGTGGTGTTCTGTCCTGTCAAAACTTATTAGCTTCATCATTGTTAAAGGGAAAGAGGCTGTTGCTTCGAAACACTTCTTTATTTTCTTATCAGTTGCCAGTCATTTCACTTATGTCCTAAGTAGTTATTAGTGATCTTGTGTATATTGTCGTTACAGCAGTTATTATTTAACATTATTCTCAGACACTGTGTCTGAATAGTGTTCAGACACGGAGTCTTGAGGCAGCCCAAACGTACTCTGTGCTATTGAGGTCTGCAGCTGCAAAAACCTACAGCTGTGTACAGTGGTTATCTGCAGTTCTCAAACTGATGTACAGATACCAGTGGATTTACTTGCAGACATTTCATTGCTACTTTAGACATATAGGTATTGAATATTTATTGTTTTGAAAACCTAATTGTATCTCATAGTTTTGTCACATTGTAACCCCAAAACATGTGACTTCCCAATAAAAAGAGTGACTAGTGTTAGAGTTTGAGAAAAAGGAAACAAGTCGGTTTTTAATCTAAAAATGTGGCATGCATTTGTATTTAGCCACATAATTAATATTTTAAAGATTCACGTTCCCCTACATTTACAGCTGCAAATCTTTTGCAGTATTCTCCATCAGCTTGGCACATCTAGAGACTGACATTTATACCTATTGGATCTCAATTGGATCTACTGTAGGTCTCGATCAGGATTTAGTTTGGGCCTGTCATTGTAAAGGGAGCACTTCTGCAAATATAATACATAAGCACCAAAAAAGTGAACAGCTTAACCATGTCATTCTTTTAAAAGAAATTACTTAAAAAGCAGTTATTGTGCAAGACATTTTAAGAAACACAAGATGCTGCAGTGAATGAGGCAGTAAGTTCTGGTGGCTGTGTTGTGCTGTGTTCAGTGACCAGGCCAACTGCTATGAAAAATACAAGGCAATAAAAATTGTTCTCTGAATGTTTTGAATTAAATTGTAGCAAGATATTCTCTAATAAAAGTTGCAGTGTTAGAAGAGAGTAAATTGTTGAGATGAAGACAGCCAGAAGCACAGATATTATGTATGTTCTAAGCACAGAGCAGCCATATTGGACTTTGAAGTCTAGGTTGTTGTGAAATTACCAGTTGTACAAACCGTGATTCAGACTTCAGATGACAATTTACTTTTACAACCTGAAACTTGGAAATACTGGCGTTTCAGTATACAGAAAATTCACAGTTAAACCACATCCTGCAAACCTGCAGCCCCCGAGTAATGTTTCATGGAACAGACGATGTCTAAGCAAAGTGACATTGTGTTTGAAAAGTTGCTTCAGACGTTATTGATGTCAAAACGTTAGTAAGAAGAAGCTGACCGAGACAAGAGATTCAGTGTCTATGTTTTGGCTATATTTGGATATGTGCACATTTCAACATGATTTTCAACATCATTTTCTGCGTTGCATAGGCATTTTCACGGAATTCATACTAAAATTATGATTGCTTTCCTATAAGTGTTAAGATGTCTCACAGGTTAGTAGTACTTGGAATACTCAGTTTTTATTCAAAATGTTTTTTCCCCAAAAGAAAACAATAAAAAAGAGCAGAACTTCCTCTATTTGGGTGAGGTGCTTATATAAAAGAAACAAAACAATTGTAGCTTTCCTTTTTGCATGAGTCCAAGAGTCTCCTGTGAAATATGTAATAGCAGTAGTCATGATTGCTACACTGAAACTCACAAACTAATACTATTCATGCGTTTCAAAAAACTTTTAGAGGATTTTTTTTTCCTCTGTGGTGTATATGTTGGGAGGACTTTTGTATTTACGTGTACGGATCCTGTTTTACAGTGCAATACTAAGCAATTATCTATTGTATGCTGGCCGTTTTTTGTGCAACACCTGCAAACCGTAAAAAATTAATAAATAATGAAGGCAATAGCTTCCTCTTTAAAATGCAAACTGCTATGACTCATTGAAGGGATGTATATGCCTGAAAAGGTGTTTGTGTTTGTCATTGTGCTACTGTGGCTATGCAAACTAAACAGAAAGTAGTCGATAGGAGCCAAACTAAACCACTTCAGAAAGTTCTAACTCTTCCCCCAACCACAAGCATCTATAAAGACAACATATTAAAACTCTGCATTTGGTTTGATTAAATATTTTAAGCTGCAAAGAAAAATGGCAGTGAGTGCAAGGGGGTCCATATGACTATTGGAACTTACAATGTGCTTCACAACTTCTGTGTGATCCTGAGATACAAATTCATGTTGTGGTTCAGGCTGAAGTGGAGAATCTACCTTAAAGCTATCATTTAAAATGTAATACATTTGCACAAAACAAAAACTGTTATGAAATGCATCAAGAACAATCAATGCAATAAAATGGTGAAAAGTACATTTGTGTCTTCTCTTTCATTTTTAAAATGTCAAGAAAAAGTAAAAATAATCAAGAAAGCAAAGTCTTTTGGTAGAATCTTTAATTTTATCAAACATGAATTTTAGATGTTAAAGTATATATGTTGCAAATTATTAAATGTAAAAATTGTTTTAGAGGAAGTGAGAGTCAGTACTTCAGAACATATAAAAAATAAACATATTTGAATTCTTTTCTGACTAACAAAGAGGCAGAAGTGAGCTCAGGAAAAACAGGATGTGAAACCAAAAGATTCCTCAAACCCCATTCTCTTCAAACATCAGCCAGAATACCTCAAAATAAATGATGACAAGTTTTCACTTAGTTATTCATTGGTGAAGGCGTCAAGCACTTGCAGTTTTTAACTCTTTACTGATCAAGCTAGCAGCTTAAATGCAAATATTTCACTCCACAAGTGCTGCTGAAGTGGGTTAGTCATCATTGTCTGTTGATTTGTAGTGATCCTCGTCTATGGTTGAAAAGATGTGGCCTTCATTGCTCAGGAACTCCACTGCTTGTCTGTTAGATCAAAGAGACATTTGAACTCACCACCAATGAAAAAAAAACAAAACATTATTGGATAGTAATTTTTAATCTAATTCAAAAAGAATAAGGACGATAAGAGCTAACTGTTTAAAATACAAAAATATTACTGAAATCGAATCATTGAAGTTTTAACTGAACATATTTTAAAGAAGCTTATTTAGTAAAAGAAAAAAAATTACTTTCCAGGTTTGAACCTAAATATTTATGAAACTGTAACCTTTCATAAAGCCACTTTAAATGCTTCTTTCAAATAAACCAGAGGTCAAATTAATATCCTCAACTAATTTATTTAACAATACATTTTGGAAAAAAAAGCAACATAAAAGTTGGTTTACTTTGTTAGGAAGTACCAAGAAAGTTAGACATTTCTTCCAGAAGTGTTTTTTCTACTATCTCAGTTTTGTGATATTGAAAAAAAAGAAAAGACAAAAAGACAAGTCTGTCCAATGTTGACTAAAATGAAATATTCGTTATCTAGCTTTAACTTGCTTTTTCTAAACAGAAAATCACATTGCTACATTTATGTTCAATTACACTTTTACAGAAACTCTAAGCAAAATGTATCTTACTTGATCACTGCAAGACTGATGCCGCTGAGCCTTTGCTTCAGATCCTGAATGCTAATACCCTGAGGGTCCGGACAGCCTTTTATCAAACTCAGCACCTTGTGAGAGGGAAAAAAAATCTATGTATTGACCAAGCCTCAAAAAAAAAATAAAACTTAGCTGAAAAAAGAAATAAAGGATAAAAGAAATATGGAAGCTTATGAGGTTGATATGATTGGAAACACTTGGTTCCTTATTTAAACCAACCTGGTTCTGATTCCCACTTAACCCATTTATGACCATTAGTGGGTTCTCATTGGTGCCTGCGTAGCTCCCTGCGGTCATCCCCGGGCCTTGTTGGAGCATTGGCATGCTGTTTACAGCCATTCCTCCACCAATACCTGGCTGTTAGAGAAAAAACAGAAGTGATACTAATGTTTTTTTTCCCTTAATCTGAAATAAGTCTTAAAACGCAGTTATCAATTTATACAAGAGAGAGTTGAGGGCAATTGAATTCCTTAATGATGTGTTTATTACTATAAACCTGTGGAAGAAATGCTAAGTGTTCTACTACATATGTTTTGATTTTAAGAACAAGGCAAAGTTGCAAAAATAACCATGGAAGTGACCAACCAAATCTGTTCATGTCTTGAAGTTAATGAAAACTTTTGCATATTTTGTGATACTACAACCCAGCTATTTTTTTTTTTTTTTGTAACAAACCAACAAATACGAATTAGTGCATATTTGTGAAGAGGTAGGAAAAAGATAAAAGGTTTTCAAGGTTGCATGATGACCTGATAACCTCACATTGAACCTTTGGCAACCGATGATGATCAGATTTTACCTGATTAATAAGTAAGTCCATATGGGTTGTGTCTATATGATCATAACACACAGCTAGAGAGCTTCTGTGTATCTCGTCAAGATTCTCAAAAGTTTTAGCTCTGGACTTTGACTGGATCATTCCAACATGCTGTATGAATACAGTTTGATCTTATCTGTTCCATTTTAACTCTGTCTACTTAGGGTTGTTTTTCTGCAGGAAGATGAACGTCGCCCATCCAAGGTTTTTAGACTGATATTCCTGAAGGGTCACAGTTCATTAATTTCCATCTGTCTTCTATGCAACTAAATTAGCTTTTCTGTACTTGCTGAAAAAAATACCCACCGCAAAATGATATTACCACCACACTGGACTAAATGGTTGGTGTGCTTAGAGTGACATTCTGTTTCATCTAACCAAAGCACCATATTTTCCGTGTTCACTATGTGATTTGAGGGCAACTGAAATCCTTGCTTCTGGTTTTAGCTTCACGGTAGCTGAGCATTCCTTGGACCCTCTCCACAGTTACCTCCACTGTATTGAATGTTTCTCTGAATCATTCAGTTCTGGTGGAAAAATATCTAAAGAACATCAGTGGCCTTCAAAGAACATCTGTATCTATACCTACATTAAAATGGTTGCACTTAATTTGATTTAGGGGTTTGATTCAGAGTAAATAGGACTGAATAGTAATGCAAGCTATACGGTAAGAAACAAATGTGAAGAGTGCATCTTTTTTCTTCCACTCCACAATTATTTGCTACTTTTTAGTTGGTCTACCACAAAGTTCGAATGAAATGTATGCATGGTAGTTGAAACATCACAACCCATGAAGTTTGAGAGATCTGAAAACTTTTGCAAGTCACTGCTATGCCCATGTTGAACTTGACAGTCATATGTGTTTGGCAACTCCAACATATTTTAGTTCCTTTGTTAAGAATAAAGGTTGCTTTTCTCTGAATTGTAACCAAGGAAGAAGTAAAACCACAGTCACCCTGCTTTTAACAAACATCTTCAGTTTCTAAAAGTGGAGATTCTGCTTGAGTTCACTTCATAAAACAACCAACTGTTCTCATGATGGTCTATTGGGTTTCTGAGTATTTACTTAAATGAGGAAATCAAACACAGCTGTGACACATATAAACTGATCCGTACTTCCTTATTCTCACGTTTTAGTAACAGATAAGTGACACTGGCGGGACAAGCATGCAGTTTCTCACCATCGTTTGAGGTTTGCTGAGCGCCATGTGCGCATGAACGACCTCCAAAATGTGCGATGTAATTTCATTCATGTCCTCCAGGGGCCTGACGCTGAATGCCACAACAGATCTGTGGTTCTTGAGGAAGAATAATAATAATAATAATAAACAACCTTTAATGAGTTTATAAACCAGCAGCAGCAGCTTCCTCATATAAAATTGATATGACAAAAGACTTCTTCTATATTTAAATAAACTTCTGTCTATTGTTTCAGATGAAACCTCTTATCTGGGCACACAAGGTTACATTTTTAAGGTCAAACTTGTTTACCTGAAAGGACCGTAGATTTCCTGACACTTTCACATAGGTTCCTGGGGGCAACACTGTGCTGTCCACACTTGGGTCCTAGGGAATAAATAGAAATGAGAAAAACAAGGTTTTCTGTCGGAATGTAAAAAATAATCTATTTAAACAAATTCAATGCAAGAAATACATATATTCTAAGATACTCATTTGACAAAATTACTGCACTTCTTTCTGCTGCAGAAGATCAATAACAGACACTCAGGCCCTCCCCTCCCTGTCGCTACCCATCTGATCAAAGCAATGAGTTGTTGCTAGACGTTTTAACTTCTGCCACCATGAGTCAATCGGAAAAACAAATAAACAAATGCAATCTTCTTAGTGGAGAATACTAACAAAAGAGTTGTTTGTAAGTATCTTCCCTATGAGGCAACTCAAACTGTCTTCCTGCCTCTTTTTGAGCCAGGAAGTCAGACAGATGCTAGTTCCGCCAACGCTATACTCCGAGAGCAATTTATAAAGTTCAGTAAAGCTCCACTATCTGCAACAGTGACACACAAACCTTCTTGATGACAAGTTAATGCTATTTGGTTAAATATTAGCTTTACTGACACAGAAAACTCAAAGACAGAGATTCATTGCTGGCCTGTTATGGTGAAGCCATAGTACAGACAAATGCCTGCCAGCTTAAGGTGCCAGCAGTTCAGGGGCGCCATAAAAATGGCCAAGAGAAAAAAGTATGTTTGCCTATTCTTTTTAAAACATATGGGTAGAATTATTATTTCCGAACATTAAATCTTTACACAGTAGTTAGTTTGTTTGGTTGCTTAATTCCTTGTTGTTATGACTACATTTTTTCCAAAATTTTTAATTGGTCAGTTCATGTCTGCTCAGACAATTTGATGTTTTTAGCCAAGTTTCTTGTCACAACTTTCAACTGTGTGTACATAGTGCAAAATGTGAAATCATTGACCATTTTTCTTTCTTGTTTCTATATAGCTGCAAACTCGCGCTCCACATTTCTAAAAGCTAACACTCAAACAAAAACAGCGGCACTGTAGCCCAATGCATTGCTTTCATGCCAGTGCTATTTGGTTTCTACATAGTGTTGCCTAAATGTACATGGACGCATTAGCTCCGCAATATGAAAAGCAGCTCGCAAATTAACCCAAACCTCACATTTTGATTAGTGGTGATGAGGCTATTAAAACTTGGATGAACAAGACTTTAAGTCCAACAGAAAGAAGTTAGAGGGCTGCTTCTGACTTCAGCATCTCTTCTGAGTGAAGCTTTATAACTTTCAACATCCAAAACACAATAGAAAACATGCAAATGTGAATAAATAAATAAAAATCTCCTCAGAGGGGCTACATTTTGTATTATTTTATCCAACAATGAATGGTCATGCTGATGATATGAACTCAACAAACGTCTACCACATACCTCTGTGTCGACCCACTGCTTCACGTCCATAGGAGCGCCAGTCATGTCGTCCACCTTGTACTGGATATTGGTCATAGATTTGTCTGTACTTCTAATGATGCCCACAATGGTGACCTAGA